GTACTTAACCTCTCCATTGCTTGTCTCTTTACCATTAGTCTTTGCATTAGGCTTGCTCTTATGTCTTCTAGCATATAGATCAAGTGTTTGGTCCTTGCATTCACTATGTAACCATTAAAGGTTTCAGCTAGGTTGTTAGTGATCACATTAACTTTCATGGATGTAGACATAAATGCTCGACAAAAACACTTGGGGTTGTAACTCTTGAATGCAGTTGCAGCATCCTCATTCATTGTTGCTAATTCATCAAGGGCATCATTGTAGTCTGCAAGGTTATATTCCCTTGCAATCTTCCAGAACAATAGTTTCATCTCATCCCCTTTAAAGGCTTTATGCCATAGGACATAAATATGCCTTGCACAATGCCCATGTTTAGCCATAGGAAGAACAGAGGCAACTGAAGACAATATAGCCTGAAGTCAAACAATACAAATCAATCACCACATAATTAACTGTTGTCAAATATTTTTAAAGATATAAAGTAGCTATAAAGAACATGTATTAAGTAAGTTAGGAGAAGTTTTTTTATCTGATTTTCATCTGAGACTATAGCAACATCTGTTCCATCACCAAGATCCAAACATTTCTGAAGATGTGTCATGAACCAGCACCATGAAAGATTATTTTCCCCTTCAACTATAGCCCATGCTATAGGATACATCTGGTCATTACCGTCTCTCCCTACAACCACTAACAACTGACCGCCTAGAAATGTCTTTAAAAAATAAGCATCAATGCAGATTATTTTCCTACACCCTTGTTTCCAGCCTTTCTGCAAACCCTCAAAACACACAAATAGTCTTTGAAAAATTAGGGGGAAGCAGTTGCTATTAGGATTAGGTACCAAGTCCAATTCAGTTCCAGGGCTAGATAATCTCAAAGCTTCTAAGTACCTTCCTAGTTTAGCATAACGGTCTTTCATAGACCCATGCAAAAGTCTGTAAGCATAATATTTGACTTTGTAAGCAAAATCCTTTTCACATTCATCCTGTATGCTCTCCTCACAGTCTCTATTAATTCTTTAGCTGGCAGTGTGGTCGAGCTTTAAAAACTTCTAGGAATTGCTCTGCCAATCAAGTGCTCTTTAGTTGTTTATTTCTCTTCATATCTCTGTTGTAATTGAGCTCACTCTTGACTGTTTTAACTACAAAAGTAGCTCTTTTAGAATCCCATGATGAATACAATCTAAATAGGCAACTCTTAACACACCTTACACCTACTCTCTGTTGTCTTTTGTTATTGCTGATTACAAAACTCAAGTTTCTACCTTGCTCACAGCTCTTTTGAAGTCTTTCCTTGTAGCAAATTAAACCTCTGCCCGACCTTCCTTTGAAAAGTAGAAAAATCAGTGTTCTCACTAACTAAAACACTTCTTGAGCCCTTTCTCCTTTCCCCTAATTCTTCTTCACCACACTCAATAGGACTATTTTGATCACCATCAGAATCCTCATATTCACTAAGACATTCAGTCCTGGCTTTTTCTATGTGGATAAATGTGGTTTCAAGTTGAGGGGTGGATGTTTGTGGATGGGGGGGTATGGTTTTTGGTTGATATTCAGGGGTATTTGTTGTTGGTTTGCTAGAGTTTGTAAATGTGTGAAATTGGGAAGGTAGCTTTTGGTGAGTTGTTTGAGTCAAAGAAGCATCTTCTCTTCTCATAGTAGAATCTTTGTATACGGGTTGTTTTTGTTGTTTACTAGGGCTTTTTGTAAGTGAGGTGACAATATGTGTAGGTGGTCCCCTCTTAGGGGTCAATTTTTTAGCTTTTCTCTTGAATTGTGTTTTAGTGACTTCTTTTACTGGTTCTAACTATAATGGCGAAATTACAGGCTCATTTACTCCATGTAAAACATACATCTCAATGCATCTGTTTGCCACACCTATGTCAATCAAATCCCTTACCTCCGAGTCATTATACACCCTTCTAAGCCCGTTAGCTAGTGACAGCCCTGGAACAAGGTAATACACACCTTCAATATATATGCGTATAACCACCACATTTTCTAGCTAATTCCTCAAGCCAAAACCAACATAACTCATCAGGTCAGCTTCATATGTCTTCCCCTGCTCTCCCAAATACACCAAGCTTGTAGAATCTCGCTTAAAGAACCCACCATGCCAGAACTTTAAGGTAATTTCATCATCTATTCCAACAATCTATACATTAACCCCAATCCAAAAAAAAAGTTATTATAAATAAAATTAAAATACGAATTTATAAAATTTAAAACTTATATTAACTACAATTACAAATGATCCCACAAAAATACCAACTTAATATGCATTTTGTTTCATAAATCTCATCAAAGGGACCAAGCTTTCGTCAGTTATGCAAACATACAGTAAAAGGACCACAATTCCAATTATACATGAAATTCCACGAAATTTAAGGTTTTAGAAAACATACCTTTAATGGAGCTTTGCTTTACACACCTCCAGCTGTCCAGACGTTGCCCCATAGGCGTACCAAACTACCAATCTACAGTAATGGTGCAATCGATGGTGCCTTTTTTTTTTTTTTTTTTTTTTTTTTTTTCTCTTTTCGTATTGAATAAGTAGCAGGGAGTAATTAGACTCTTAGGAAGAATTATTAATTTTTTTTGGGTAGAGGAAGGTTGACATTTAACCCAAATGCCACGTCAGCAAGTTACCAGGTGTAGCAGGTCATAAGTGTAGAGGGTCCAATTAAAATTGATGGGTCTTGAAGTTGGGATTATTGTGAGTTAATTGAAAGGTGGGACTAATATGAGCAGACCACTAAAAGGTGGGATTATTCATGTCAATTTTTCCTAAAAAAAATACTAATATTTTATTATTTTTCTATCCCACTAACCCCACTTGCATAAATATTTTACGGTTTTTTCACCATATATATATACCACTGAGTAATTCATTTATTCACCATATTGTTCGTAAATCCATGAAATTTTCAAATTCATCATATGCTTCTGAGTTTAACAAAAATGTCTCCATATGCCCAAATTTTCCATATGCCCAAAGGCTATATGCCCAAAGGCTATTAAGCCAAGTGACAACATATAATTGATTTTCTTTAAATTATTTAATTTTTAAAATTATTATTTAACTAATTATTAAAAAATAATAATAATAAAAAACCCACCCACCACTCCTCAGCCAACCACCCTCCTTGGCCCACCCTCGCTGGCGTGCATTTCCCCTAAACCCCCACGCCAACGCCACCCTAACCCCGACCCTCCTGTCGTCGCCTAACCCCTTCCCTGAACCACCCTCCCCTCGAAAAACCCTCCCTCCCCACCTACTGACGTCCAAACCCCCTCCCTTGCGCTAGCAAATCCAATTCACCCCTCCCCTTGCCGTCTGCTTTCCCTCCCCCCCCCTAAAATCACCTCCTTGAAACCCTAAAATCAAAATCTAGGATTTTAAGTCAATCCATTTGCATAAAACTATGTGACAGTTAAAGTGTAACATTTAAATAAAACGAAGTAATGAAGTATTGGTTAAAATTCTCCATTGGCAGATATGTTGGTTAAACTTGGATACTAATAAACTTCGAGAGAATATTGTTACGCATGTTTAAAATAAGGATTATTTACAATTATTGTAATAAAATTTTAACCATGCATGGTAATTGTTAAGGGAAAATCTTCATTAAGGCTATGATTTTTATTATTATTTTAATTTTAATCAATTCAAACGTTTTTAACCCAAGGGTATGTTCTTAAGGAGTAAAATCTTTGACTATGTGGATCCCCTGATAAGCAACTAGAGTAGTTGGTGTGTAATAAAAATGGAAGGAGGGACAATCGGCAGGGCATGTAAAATTGTTAAGACGAGACATTGAAGACACACCCCCACACCTTCCGACTCTTACTCTTCTTTGGCCAATGTCAAGCACATGCAGCTCACCGACCCACCTTGTGATCGATCCCTTCTTCATTTGTATTCCATTTCATAACAGCAATTCTATTTACCACATGATTTTGTACAATTAAGTCCGCTATTTAACTAAATAACGTGTGACGGGTACATAGTAAAACAAATGTAAATTATTATTCCTAAATATCTCTTAAGAGTAAATGTGCTGAAAACTTGTAAAGGATGGAGTATGATTATTACTCCGTACAATATTGATTAGGTAATATAAAAAAATATACATAAAATTAAAGATTTCTTAAAACTTATACGATCATATATAGATATTTAAAAAAAGACAAGAAGCAAGTACTACAAGTGTACAACATTAGATACATATACTATGACAGCCATGTAATTATTATATTTATAACAAGATACAAAATATATGTAGTAATTTTTCATTGAAGTGAATCATAAACCACTTAATTAAAATGTCTTTTTGTTGAAACTAGCTAGTCTAATTGTTTTGTCCAACACATGACGCTAATTGACTTGTAAGTTGTAACTTGTAAGCGCTAAAAAGCCATGAAACCGTGTCAAAAAACCAAAAAAAAAAAAAACCATGAAACTTTATTTAATATTTCTCTGAATTTCATTAACTATGGTCATACTCTCGTAGTTGTACGTTAAGCTTAATTTAAGTGGGAATTTAATTACTTAAATTGTTATTCCGATGTATGTAAATAAGAACAAATAAGAAGTAGATTCTTGTTGTTCTATATATAAAGTACATGAGAGAAAATTATCAAGTGCAATTGCCTAATACCTCTCACTTAATAAGTTAATTCAATAATAAATATACTACTAAGTATACAACGAGTAAATTCATAATATTTTCACTTTTCAAGCAGATTAAAACATTGTTTTTAACAAATTAAAGTAATTTAAGTGAGGTATTAGGCATTAATTTAGCCCGCTAGTATAAGATCGAGCTGATACAATCATCAAGAATTCAAGACATCAACTTAATTAATCAAAGAGAATGGAAAAGCAGTATATATGTTATATACTTATATGTACATCTTCCTTTGCTAAGTCACCTAAGCTAGTATCAAAATACCTTAATTAAATTAAACAACAACGATATAAGTTTAATAAGCCGTAACAAACTATGTATTTATTTCCACACAGAACATTGGTATAATTACATATTCATATTCATTAGTATAGTTGTATATATATATATAAATTACGATATTATGGATCATACCCTAAGCGAAGCTCCAAATCGATGTCTTCTTTCTTCTTGTTCTTTTCTTTAAGTTGTTGTTGATGATATTGATCTATGTTGGTTGAGCTGATCCTTAAACTTAAATCCGCACCCAACTGATCCTCATACATCCCAAAAAGTCGAGTTGTACGTCTGTTAATAAAATGATTATGATTTGGATGTGACGAAAATATGTTAGGGTTACTAGGAAAAGGGTAGTACCCTTGACGAAAAGGTACCAAGGAAGAAGACGAGTAGGGCGATACAGGCTCCATAGCAGTTGACTTGAAAGAAATCGAAGATGATGAAGAGAAATTATTATTAGTGTAGGCTTGTTGTTGTTGTTGTTGTTGTCTGGCTTTGGCTTTGGCTTTATCCTTCCTATGTATGTTCATGTGCCCTCCTAATGCTTGAGCATTCGTGAACCCTCTCTTGCAGTAGTTGCACTCATATGTCCTTCCCACACCGGTGTTGTCGTTTTCGCTATCGCTCTCTTTGTCCGTTGATCCATCATCAACCTCCATCTCTTTACTCCAGCTCTTTGAATTCCCATACTTCTCCATTTCTTTTTTCGATTCGATTATATATGTGTATGCACGTATTCAACTCAAACGCTTATGTTAAGTGATGGCTAAGAAGTTCCAGCCAACTACTCGTACTATATCATAAAGGATTTGAGGAAATGGCTGTTGTGTGAATTTTTTGTTTGTGGAGAGCTTTATTTATTCATGGAAACCCTAGCTATGAAAGTTGCACTTTTTCTAAGTTATAATTAATTTTAAACTCTCTTATTTATTAGGGGATCGGAGGATGGACCATGCATTTTGGATTGTAGATACCTAGCTAGGAAGTTATTTTTAGTAAGAGTATAAACTACTACACATATATTTGCGTAGTTCCACTTTGATGATGACTAAATTCCAACTCTAAAGGTGACATTATATGCTAATTGTTGGTCTCATTAAGGAAGTATTTGCAGTCTTCCCTCCGTCTCTAAATAAAAGTCTCATTCTTTGTCCCAAATTAAAAGTCTCAATTTACATTTTACCAATCAAACCTCACTATCATTCTTTTTTTAATCTACTCTATGCGTTTCTTTTTAATCTTTATACAGTTAGACTTTTATGGTCAAGTGGTCAACTCTAAAAAAAAATTGACTATAAAACTCACTATTATAAAATCATATCATGTAATTCATGTGTTGGATCTTGTTAGTTTCAGATTGAAATATATTTTCAAAGTTTTTACTCATATCTTATTCAATATAATCGTTGTCTATGATAAAAAGTATTATATCTACAACTAGTACAAGTAATAACCGCATACATATCCTAGTATAGCTAAAGGAAGTAAGACAAAAATGATGGAGGAGCCGTAGTATGGTACTCGTATATGGTTAATGTGTATACAAGTGAGGTTATAGAATAGAGAGTTTAAAAAGGGAAAAATTTCTAAAAAAAAGGGAGTAGTAAAGCAAAGAGTTATATTAAATGAAGATGGTGATGGATCAAAAGTGATAGGGAACTAACGTATCAAATATAATTAGCAAGCTAAGGCGTGCAGTAGTCCTTAGTCTTTATATACATAAATGAGTTACTGATGGGTATATCAAACTAATCAAAGTAAATTTTGTGGCGTCAATTTGTGAGAAAAAAATATGACTTGTAATTAATTCAACTAGTAGTGGCGTATCTCATTAATTAATTATAATGTTATAGCATGTGACTACTATCTAGCTACTACGTAGTTTTTACCATTTTTAAAGATCTACTAATAACTCCATTAAGAAATAATCTCAAGTGATGAGTCGGTTGTTTGCAATCCATTCTAATACAAAAGTATTTTATAGTGGAAAAATTGCAAGTTACTCTTCCATACATTCTTTGCATCATCTTACGAAACAATTGTATTTCTCGCTCTCTAAGTCAAACGAAATACCCAATGTCGAAAAAACCTAGGATTGTATCTCTGAGTCATATAACGTTATTTGTAACCGTAATATATATAATCATTGGCCGGTTACATAAAATCTTGTAGTGGCCTTGAGAAGAGGCGAAGTTAGAAATTTTAATGTTAGGAAGCCAAGACTTATACTTCTATTTTTTAGATGCATTACTTTTAAAATCACGGACTTTTAGGCAATTTTCGAAGATGAGAGAGATAGATAGAGAAAAAGAAAAAAGAAAACAATGTAATATGAGAGAGATAGAGAAAGAAAAAAAGAGTATCCATGTACTCCGTAATATGAGAGAGAGAGAAAGAATTGAAAGTTTATTAACCAAAAAGGTAAGTGATGCATCTAAATTAAATTAAAACTTCCACATGAATCTATAAAAAATTGGACGAAATATGAGTATTAAATAAAATAGTACTCTTATTAAAAAATAAAATAAAAAATAGTACTCATAGTTTATATTTCGTATATATTAAATAAAAAAATACTCATATATTATCTAAATTAAATTAAAACTTCCATATTGTATTTCTTACTTTTTTTTTTTAATCATTAGACACTACCCTTTGTGTTACACACACAATATCACAAAATTTTAAGTCTTTTTATATTTAGTATATATTTTATATATAAGTCTCGTATATTGCTGATCCAAGATGACGCGTAACTCTGTGATATTTGAGGGAGCCAACTCATAAGCTAAGGAAATCTCAGACCGACTAATAGCTACATACAAATATTTGAAAAAAAAGTTAGGATTAAACTTAAATTAGGAGGATTAAGTTTGTCCATTAACATCTCGCATGACACTTGAGAATACAATTAAATACAAAGAAAATTAATAATCCATACTAATAGGGTATATGATAATATTCTCTAGTGTATATTCTGTGGATATCTTTTGTGTATTTATGTATACCTTATATTATCATAGATTAGGTTGTAATCATATAACTAATATATAAACCTAAACTTTTAGCCAGTTCACGGGACAACGACACTTGGTATTTTAACTTTTCGCCAACTGTCACGCCACATAAGCAACAATCAAACATTTGTTGGATTTATTTGAATGTATTTTTTTAGAAAATAAAAAGGATAGATTTTTCTATAGGATATATAGAAAGTTGAATAGGTTTAGACATTATGTAGCATAAAAAAGTTAGTTTAGAGTTTTATTTTGAATATAATTGGATAGATTTAAAAGATAAAATTGTTGGTTTAGAGTTTTATTTTCAATAAAGTACCAATATTTCAGGTACAAATTAAATTATCACTTAATTAAAAAATATTAAAATATAACTTTCAATAATTATCTTATAAATTAATTATTTTCATATCATATCATTCTAATTATATAGTAATAAAAAAAAATCATTTATGATATATTTTAATAAGCGACTTAAAAAAATAATCCATTCATTATTAAATATATAAAGTTGTACAATTAGTTAAGTTACACTACAACAAAACTTAAGCCGTACGATTAGCCAGGGCCACACAAGACATTAGAACTTGGCATCCTAACTTTTCGTCATGTATCGTGCCACGTAGGTAACAACTAATCATTAGTCTGACACATATAATTTACTAGATGAACCCCGTGCTATGCACGGTTTGTTTGTATTTTTTCAAATAAAATCTAATCTATCTATTACTTATTACTAAAACAAAACGTTGCTGACGTCATCACTGTCCACATGTCACTCATATAATAAATTTTTTCCCGCCTAAATGCAAGGATGATGTCATCTTTTTTTTTTAAATTTTTTTTTAAACTACCATATTTAACAATTTTAAATTTTGAATATTAGAAGATTCTACATCACAACTACTACCTATCAATTTATCTTTCAAAAATGAAACAATTGTAATAGCACACTAATGATGGACTCCTACATTGAAATATGTATTAGACGACTTTGAACAGGTACGGTGTTACATCATAATTTTGATAAAAATCTAAAACTATAAAATTACAAATATTTTTATACAAGGTGCATAATTTTTATTTATATTTATCCATTTTTTTTAAATGTACAAATTATAAAAATAGATTTTATATAAACCGTGCATCACATGGGTTCTAACCTAATCCCTATATATATTGATTAATGAGAATATGATACTCAAGGAGATTTACACACTCTTACATGGTATCACAGTCTAACGGGAATTTTTCTCTCAAATTCCTAACCCTTCGATCCTAGCCTAGCCTAGCCTAGCCTTTTTTCACAGCCGCTGCACCCCTTTTTCATCCCATGGCCAACGATGATGATATGCACAGAATATATACTAGAGAATATTATCATATACTCTATCACATACTAGTTGGAATATTTTTTTTTTTAGCTATTGGACTATTATAAGTTAACTTTGGCCATATATTTTTTGAGAAGCAACTTTGACCATTTTTTGAACTCATTTAATAATTTCAGCGCATAAATATTTTGTTATAACTTCAAAATAATTCTAATTTTTAAAATCAATGGTCAAAGTGTAGTGTTATGCCTAAAGGAGCAGTGAAATGCCTTAGGTAAACACATAGTAATGCACGTACACTAGCTAGTTTAAGCATCTGATTCGTAGGGACCTTACCAATTACACTTAGAACAATACATCATACTAAGAATCCTATATAATTAAACTTAACACATTTAACTCATTGCTTCTTACGTAGACATATAAAATAGGATATCATTTATGTGATTAATTTGCATGCATGCTTGTGAATTATAATGAGCTTAAATCTGCAACCGTGCTTTGAATGTTCAGTGTTTATACATATTTGTTACTATGTTAGGTACAAGTGTGAGTAGAGTTTGCCCCACATTAAAAAAAAGAAGTAAATGACTTTTAATTTATAATCCAAGCGGACTACTCCTCCTATTGCCAATTAATTTTAGGATTAAACCTCGTTATAAGCTCTGATTTGTAGGCTTTTGGGCTTCTCTCCTTTGTGTTGTGTTCTCCCCCGTCATTAATGCCTTCAAACACTATGATCAGCGTCCCATTTTAATTTATGGGGACTGAATTACCTTAACTATCATTTGATGCCCTATTGTTGTTTTTGGTTACTTACTCAAATCTTTTATATCTATACAACGTAAGCCTAGCTAGTAGCTACCAACATCCCTAGAGAATATTAATCTAAGCTTCATGCTTCCTTTTCACACTTGCTTTTCTTTCTCATCGCATATACCCTTTGATTTTTTATTTTTTTTTATTTTTTTTAAGAGAAATACTCATTCTATCTCTAAAGAAATGTTTTTATTTCTCATAAAATGTAGAATGCAAAATAGAAAGTGGGGCGTTAGTCGATTAAATAGCTGTAAACTTAATGATTATCTATCACCTAACGTTTTAAATACCAGTAATGTTCATTTACAACAATTTATATCCCTCTCACAACTCACTAGATAGGCTTCATTCACTACTTGATTCTGTTTAACTTCTTCATTACCCACTTTCCTCAAAACTTTTATTATTATTCTGATCCCGCGTTTTCACACATTGTATTTTCTTTATATCTATTGATATTTAATAAAAACATTTTCACCTATAATGATATTGTTTGATGCATCTCAACAAATACTTTAAAATATTAACGAAAATTTGACTTTTTCTACCAACAAAACACCCCTATTTCACTTTTGCTACCAATTTAAAATTTTATTTTATTTAACACCTCCCAAAACAGAAAGTTATAGGTTTTGCTACCACTTAACCTTTTTTGTTACTATTTCCATTTGTGGGGCCCATTTATCACCTCCTTCCATATTCTTCTTCTCTCCCCACGAATCTCCTCACAGCAGCTCCATCCCAAACCCGGCCCTACCCATTCTTATGCAACTCCACCCACTCTTCGGCAATCCCCACCCTACTATCATCGCTAGGCTTGTTTACGGATCGGGTATCAGAAATTGATATCCAAATCCGATTTGAAAATTTCGGATATCTAAAATTTTCGAATCGAATGATTCGAATATCCATTATCCAATATTAAGTAAAAGTGATTAGGATTATTTTCTAAATTTCACTAATTTTACTGCTTTTTTATCGCTAAGTTGTATAACATATTTTAACAAAATAGTAGTCTTTTTGCAATAAATATTATCATCAAATATATCAAGAATATTAAATAAGTTAATAATACAGGTTTAATTTTATATGAATAATTTAAAATTTTCATATATATTTCACTATTTCAATCTTTATATTTCGGATATTGAATATCCGAAATTTTGAAAATCAATATCTAAATCCGCATCTGATATTCGATCCGAAATGAAAATTCAGATCGGATATCTAAAAATTCGAATCAATTGCGAATCGGATTATCAGATTTTCGAATTCTCGCATAGTTTTGTACAGGCTTGATCATCGCACAGCAGGCCCTGCCCACACAAATCCATAGAGCAGCAACCAATAAATCCCTTGTTCCCCAACAGCAACATCACGTTGCAGCTCCCCCTGCCAACTACTCTACCTTGCACCAGTCCACAACACCACCTCTGTCATTGTACATCAGCACCTGTTAAAAACGGAATTGCAGAAATAAAAACAATGTTACCGGCAATGAGACTGAGTCGCTCTCTTTAGAACATTCACGATATTGCCTTGAATTTGTGCAAGCAGCTCGTACCACCGGAAAACAGTCTCTCAATAGTATAAAATACCGGTGGATTTGCACTGAACCACCGGAAAAGTATAATAACCCAAACCCGACCTGGTTCGACGCGCGTGTGTGTGATAGATTGGCTTAGAACTAAGTCCTTTCCTATCCACAAAATGTAGGTAACCCTAAGGGCTACACCCTTTAAGCTCACTCTTACTATTATAAAGCAAGCAAAACTCCCATTCCCCATCAATGTGAGACTTTGTTATTTTTCCAAAATTCACACACCACACTACATGTACTACTACATGTTCCAATAGCACCACTCTCACCATTTGCGGTTCGCCCCACCATCGCCAGCCGCATCTTCCACTACCACCAACTAAACCTCAAATCGCCATCCTACAACACTGACCACATCAGCCCCATCTCACCCCTGTTCGCCCATAGCCGCCGGCAACAACCACCACCGGACTACCGCACACCAACAGAAACAACCGGCCAGCAGCCCAACACCAATAATCGCACCAAATTAACCAGCCACCGTCGCACCACACTACCGCGCTACTTAGCAACGCCGCTAGCCCATAATCTAAAGCCGCAAGCTCCAATTTCAGCCCAAATCAATAACCCTTTGCTCAATTATTTAAATTCGAGGCCGCAATTTCTTCTTGCCTCAAATTTCGCCACATTTTCTATTGAATCATTGCCCCCTTTTACAAATACTTGGAAGATTTTTAAGTATAAAAATTGGGCACTTGGGCAATCGAAAATTTGCAAAATCAGGGGTAGTGTAATTGGTATGGAGGAGAAAGAAAATACTTTGTTAAATTCACAGTGGAAGAAGCTAATGAGATATGATGGAGTTGCCGGTGGGAATGCGGATGATTATGGCCATATGGGTGGGGTTGCCGGAGAAGAGGTGGGGGTTTGATGGAGTATGCCGGACTGTATGAAGGAGTAGGGGTTCATGACTAAGTGCGGGGAGAAAGAAGAAGAAAATGTGAGGATGTTAATTAAGTGGGCCCCATAAAACGGAAATAATAACAGAATTTGTTAACTCGCAGCAAAACTTATATTTTTTGGTTTTGGGTGATAGTAAAATAAAATAAAAATTTAGATGGGTAGCAAAAGTGAAATAGGGATGTTTTGGTGGTAGCAAAAGTCAAAATTTTCAAATATTAACTTTTTTTTTTTTTATTAACTTTTTACTTAATAATTTTACAGATATATATATTGATAGTTGAAAACATGAGTTGACAAGCGTGATTATAGAACCACATGCATTGTACATGAGACATTGTAGTGAGACTATATACTAATACTCTCCTGTCCTAATATATAGTTCTTGTTTGTATTTTTTCACGGTATTTAAGAAATATGAGGAGAAATTGGATGAAGTACATTAATAAAAGTGAAAAGTACAATTAATCACAAAAGTTAGAGAGAGAAAGTGGAAAAAAAGTACAAAGTATGTGCAAAATCCAATGGTAATTTAGAAAGTGTAACGAATATAGTAAAAAAAGTGAGGGTATAATGATATTTACATACTATCCACAAATAGAAACGAGAACAATATTTTGAGTTTCCAAAATAAAAAAAACAGGAACTATATTATGTGACGGTGGAAGCACGTGTGATTGTTACAAACAAAAAATTAAAAAATGCAGCAACGAGGACCCAAGAAGTTCTATACTCGTAAAAGAGACGAAATAGTTGGGCCAAGTCCAAATAAATTTACATGCATTAATATATAGTTGCATGACACAATACGTAGCAGCTTAGGTGGCTAGCCAAATAGCATAAACTTTACATAGTTACAAGTGAGAAGGACAAACTATTAAAATATTCCGACTAGTATAAATTTGTAAGTATGCGAATGTCTTAATTAAGTACCTCCCCAACGTTAGTTGCTACATATGAATAAGAAAAGGCTTGTCTGAATTCACAAGTGCTTCACTTTGCAAATTACTTGCTATTCTTTTTTAAGGAAACTCCATCATTACATTTCACACTCATTTACAGCTTGTTGGGAACGTGCAATCCATCAGAATTTTGGGAACCTCAACTATTATTCATCCATACATATACAAGTTCCTAATAAAAAAAAAAAAATCTATACAACATACATACATACAATAACGAATTTATTTTTTTTAAAAAATACAATAACGAATATAATAACGTATAATGCATGTATAGAATTCTCTAATCTATATGTCAAATGAGAATCTACATACAACACCACAAATTTTTAGTGTACATGTTTACAATATACTCAAGTATACACTTTCTATTCATTAAAACTTGCAGTATTTAGAGTTTTACACTATTTTCACATTTATTCTTCTTCATTTGTTCAATTTTGTGAGTTAAGTGTGGTGAAAATTAGATATTGTCATATGGGAACTATAATTAGATTGATTTTGATATATTGTTCAAAATCTAAACGTTTTATAATATTAACTAAAAGATAACTTAAGGTATTCATATTCAAAGTTATGCATTGAAAATCTGTACAATAATATTAAATGATGCGCAGGTATAATATTAACATCAAGTATTAGTTCATCATTACTTAAAAATAAAGATTTTCTCATAAATATGCTACATCACTTTTAATTTGAATAGAATGAAGCAAGATGAGATATTCATCTTGAGATGAGGAGCTGAGCGAGGTTGATTACTTGAATACTATGATTTTGGGGGGAAAACGTTGTAGCTTAGCTAGCTCCATATGTGCATACATACCTTGGAAATTAAATTAAAAAAAAAAAAAAAAAAAAAAAGAGCAAAGAAAATTAGTGCAATAATATAATGATAATATAAAGACAAATAGGAAAAGGAACAACAATAATTAAGGTTATGAAGGAGGCTAGGTTTGAACAGCAGAAAATATATGGAAGTAACCAAGGGCATATATAAGTGCAGAGTAGTGCAGTGCGTGCCCTAATTAATAAAGATAGATGATGAACTTAAAAAAAAATGATAAACATAGGTAAAAATGCATGGAGTAGCTAATTTAAGGTAGTAGTTAATTGCAACCAAGACGAAGTTCTAAATCAAAATCCTTGTTGAAGACAGCAGCAGCGGCGGCGGCTTGATGGATATTATTCATCTCTAAATCCGACCCTATGAATTCTCTTCCAATCCCCTTGATGTTACTATTAGGAGTACTGGGAGGAGGTGGTCCCACCAAATTGTTTTGCTTCTTATAATACTGAAACTGGTTTTTAGTAATAACATCGTTATGAATGGACTGATTTGGTGGTGGAGGAATAATGGTGGTTATCATGGAAGGAGGCGATAATGATGATGAAGACGAGCAAGAGTCTAAATGAAAAGGAGGTTGGATAGGGATGTTAGGGGTACAAGTGGTAAAAGGAGGAGGAAGATTTAGATTAATACAAGTGGTATAAGTAGTAGGGTTATTAATAAGGGATAGTTGCCTTAATTGAGCTCTATCCCTTCTATGGACATTCATATGTCCTCCCAGAGCTTGGGCAGATCTAAACTCCCTCTTACAAAAACTGCATCTATATGACCTTGGTGGCCATGTCGCCGTCATCATCATCATCATCGTCATCCTTCTCCTCTCTTCGCCGTCATCCTCTTCATCTTCACCTTCATCTGCCTCCCATGCTTTCTTCTTCTTGTTGTAGCACACATATAAGCCGCTACTATTAATGTTGCTTCTTCTTTCCATTGTATTTTTTTTGAGACAGAATGAAATTAAAGCAATCAACTAACATATGTACTTTGGTGGAGATCGATATCTAACCGATATGTATAGTACGAGATGTGGGTATTATTTATCAACTCAAGAAATAAACTAAGCTAAGCTTACTAAAAGAGAAACCTTGGTTATTGTTACTTGAATTTTCTCCTTTTTAACTCTTTCCAAATCCGGGAATTCATATCCACCGGATGTTCTTCTTCCCCCTTCCATCCCCCTTTTCAATCTTTCTCTTTCTTATTTACAATAATTTCATCATTTCAAATTTCAATCAATTCAATATTATTGCTACTCCCTTCTTTTCTCCATTCATTTCGTTGACCACTACTTTGACTACAAAAAGAATTCACTACTACCATATATATGTACTTACTTTACTCTCCAGAAATTAAGTTGACTTTAACTCGTGTATAGAACATAATTTCGGAAAATTAAGTTGACTTTGGCTCGTGTATGGAACATAATTAAGTTTACTATGAGCATCTATTTTTATTCAATGATACTGTGGATATTCTACAGTAGTACTTATACAATAAAACGAACTCAGACCTCTTTATTACACACTAATTACATTTTAATTATTTTTTTTAAAAGGTTGCATGAGAAGTAGTCAACGACCGTCACATTTAGGATTGAAGGAAGAATTGTAAGACCAAACAGAAAAAGTAAAAAGGAATTAGGATGGAGTAGTGTAGTCACGTACAATAATCCGTAGTGAATAAATGAGACAATGAAATTACCTAAAACAAAATAAAAATAGAGAAAAAGAGATGATAGAATTTGGATAGAGAAAAGATCCTTTCCAAACATACAATAGATTTTGCTGAATAACTGGTGGCCAATTCAGTGAGCCCATTTTCCAATAGCCCATTTCTTAAAATGGGCCTCCATTTTGTAAGGGCTCATCAGCCGATATTGCAGAATTACCTGCAGTGTAACGCGATGCCGTATGTTTTACTCCCAATACTTTTTACTGACTTCTCTATCTCTTCACTTTATGTGTTTTACTTACTTTTACACTTGTAAATTACAGGTAGGTTCAGTTGTTATGATAGCCTATACAAGTGTATATGCTAAAAATGGAGGAGGTTTAATTAAGAGAAATGAAAAAAGAGGTCAATTAGTGAGTAGGAAATGTGGTAAAAACTGAAGTCAGAATAATAGAATAGGGTGAATGATTTCAATGATTCTAAACTCTGTAGGTCGGCTATGGGAATCAACCCTTGGCTATTTTGCATTGCGAATGACTTTCTCATTAATAATGTCTACTAAATGAGAGTTCTTCCCCCCCCCCCCCTCTCAAACCCCTTACAAATCCCGCCCAAAACACATAAATGACTTATAAATTTTATACTAGTACCATAATTTTTTTTGGAATTTTCTATTTGGTACGTAGTTTTGATTTTTTCATTTGATACCCAATTTTTATTTTTATTCCACGTGGTACCATTGTAATTTTGAGTTATTCTTTACTATAGCATCCCGTTTAATAAAACATTAGTTTGGGGCGATTGTGGTCTTTATTTTCTAATTTCGACTGCAAATTTTGATCCTTTTAAGGTTAGAGACTTTTGAAAGTTTTTTTTTTTTGGCTAATTTCGACCTCATACTTGAACCTTAAGGCCGCTTAGAGCTAAAACATCCTCTTAAAACCTTAACCGATCAAATTTTATGGCACCCAAATCGAAAATAATATAATATATTTGATGAAATGTTACAGTAGAGAATAAATCGAAAGTATAGTGGTACTATTTGAATAAAAATAAAAATTGGTACCAAATGAAAAAGCCCAAACTATAATAGTACTAAATGAAAAATTCCAATTTTTTTTATTGGAAATATATTAAGTCTAATGCTTATTTGTGCAGTTACAAAGTAATATGATGATAAAAATAATTCCAAAGTCTAATTAATTACTTCATACGGAGTACTATATTATAAAGATGATTCTAAGGGATGTGATTTTATCCATAGAACAACTAACGGCCGTGACTCATGAAGAATAGTTAATCTTGGAAATTGCAATATGAAGATTTAGGTAATTAAGTTATTGTTTGATCTACTCATGTGTATAAACAAGCCAACTAGGGAGTAAAATTTATCAAATAAAAAAAAATTGTCTACAATTTGTTTTACAATACAGTTTTTTTTTTTTTTTTTTTTTTTTTTTTTTTAAAATAGATGTATTAAGTTAAAACCTCAGAAATTGCACGCACTACCTAGTTTACTCTATTTATTTAACTCAACTCCTCTCATCTTTTTATTGTATTGTACAACTACAGAGTACATAATACTCCTTCCATTTTATAATAATTGCGATATTTAACTTTTGCACTATTTATATGTTTACTTTGACTTGACTTATTACCTAAAAAAATATGTTGTCATGTAAAACATTTTTGGATTAGTCTTACTGTATATTTTCGCGATATTAACCTTTTTATTATTAATAATATATATTACAAATATTAATGTTCAAAGTTGCACATTGACATGTGTCCCCGATTAAAGTGGATTAATTAGTCTTTATATATATTTTGATACCTATTTGTATAGTTTCTTGCATTTTCCTATCCTAAACCAATTGATTTCAGCTAAATACTACATGCGGAGTAAAAATTACAATTTCACATCTAATTACTATTACTCTCAATATTTTCATGCGTGCATGCCAATTGAGTTAGGTTTAGTACCATCACATATTTTAGGGTTCAAAGTTCAAGTATTTACTTATGCTCATGAATCTATTAAACCTCCAGCAAAACTATAGTCTATACATATATCTAACTAAAACATACAGCAAATAATATCAATTAAGATAAAAAGAGAAGTAATAGGGATTATGATATACGAAGTATAATATAGACGAACTCCTTGTAGGAGTTATATCAATTTACAAATTGCTAACTCAAATATAAAATGATTAAAAGAAGGAGAAACAAATATGGGTTACAACCCCGGAATATATATATATTTATCAAATACAATATGATCCTAATATTTCTCCTTTCTTATTCTTTTCTTCTTTCTTCTTACTTCTCTCCTTACAATGAAAATAAATATTACATTATAACTTTTGTTTTACTAAATAATAAAGAATGAAAACTCTTCTTATTCACAACCTCTCACTAAGTTTTCAAATGTTATTTAAAGTAAACTAATTTTATCAAATACTTATTATAGTTTTCTAAATTAAAGTTTGAATTTCAACACTCCTATGTTGTTTTTAACTATATTTTTCCTTTTTTTTTATTTTTTTATTTTTAGCAGTAGATAATTATCCTTAAATTTTCGTAAAAATAAAATAAAATTATCCTTAAATTACTCTAGCGAGTGAGCCATATGCCATAGATATTGGGCTTTTGTTTTATAAGATGAAGAAATACTCATCTCTTTAGCAATAAATAATTATCCTTTGTTACTCGATTGTTAGCGAGTGAGTCATATGCCCATAGATATATAGCAGTAGATATTTATCCTTAATAAGATGAAGAAAGTATGGCTAGATACAAAATAACAAGAGTTGAAACAGAGTAGATTTAAATATAAGGATAAACATATACCACTTTCGTTTCTGAAAGTTCGACTCACTTATTATTCATTGGCTCAAAATAAAAAAACTTTGACCACATTCAATGACTTATACAATATAAATAAATTAACATATGGAATTTTATTAAATTCTCCTTATTTTAAATTTTTCAAATATCAATTTTTTATAATTTTCACTTATACATAGCCAAAGATATTTATGATCAAAGATGTTCATTGGAGAACTTTCAAGAACGGAGGGAGTATATAGATAGATAATTATAATGTAAGGTTTTTTTATTTTTTATTTTTTTGAAGGAATAATTATAGTCTAAGTTAATTTAAATAAAAATAAGGTTTGTGTGATAGATGTGTGATATGTTTTCCGTATTAATATTATCAAGAGAATAATATATTTAGAATTATTTATGTTAAGGTAATATTATTCCGTGAAAATATCTTTAGCATATATGGTTATATGAGAGTATATTTTGGATTAGGGTTTGTGTAAATGCTCTACCCTCTCGATATGTTGGACATAATAATAAAGTAGGAAAGGTTTGAGAATTCACATGCATCAACTCATTCATCTATCTTTAACTTGTTAGCTTGGTTGTTGTTCCTCTTCACAAGTACTCCGCTCCAAAACCCTCCCTTTTAAGTTAAACTTTTGTATAATTATTACTCAAAGTGAGAGTGAGAGTGAGTCACAAAATAAAAATCTTAAAAGAAAAATTAAGAAGATTATTAGGAAGGAATAATAATGGCGATTGATGGAGAATACCCTCTTGATCCCAAGTGTTACGAAATTGTAGGAGAAATAGGAAGCGGAGTTAGCGCTATGGTTTACAAAGCCAAGTGCATCACAAATTCATCCATAGTTGCTATTAAATCCATTGATCTCGATCAATCTCGTTCCGACCTCGATACCATCGGACGCGAAACCAAAACTATGTCCCTTTTATCTCACCCTAACATCCTCCGTGCCCACTGCTCCTTCTCCGTTGGGCGCAGTCTTTGGGTTGTGATGCCCTTTATGTCCGCTGGCTCGTTACAATCCATTATTTCTTCCAACTTCGCTTCTGGTTTACCTGAGGCTTGTATTGCCATTGTGTTAAAAGAAACTCTTAAGGCCTTGTGTTACCTTCATGATCAAGATCATGTTCATCGCGATGTTAAGGCTGGTAATATTTTAGTAGGCTATGATGGTGTTGTTAAACTAGCTGATTTCGGCGTTTCTGCACCTGTGTATGACATCAACTCCGAGTCTAGGTTGAAGGAAATCACCGGCACTCCTTATTGGATGGCTCCTGAAGTTATACACTCTCGTAATGGTTATGGCTTTAAGGCCGATATTTGGTCTTTTGGTATTACTGCTCTCGAGCTAGCTCATGGTAGGCCTCCTTTGTCGGATTTGCCTCCTTCTAAGTCTTTGTTGTTCAAGATTACTAAGAGTTTTCGCTTCTCCGATTACGACAACCACTCGTCCACTCACAGCAAACCCAGCAAGAAATTTTCAAAGGCGTTTAAGGATATGGTAGGCTTGTGTCTTCACCAAGATCCTACAAAGCGACCTACGGCTGACAAGCTGTTAAGGCATGTGTTCTTTAAGAACTCTCATAAGACTTGTGATTTTTTGGTAAAGAACTTATTGGTTGGATTGCCTACTGTAGAGGAAAGGTTTAAGGCTAGTAATAAGATGAGGCTAAACTCGCTGTCGTTAGGGAGTACTACTACTCCTACTGCTCCTAACACTCCTGCTGAGGAGGATGAAACAGGGCTATTTGAGAGGCAGAGGAGGGTTAGTGGCTGGAATTTTAATTTCGATGGCTTTCAAATGGATCCAGTTTATCCTGGGGCGGTTCGCCTCAATAACAACAATGATACTAATAAGGCTTCCTGCAGCAAGGAAAAGGAGGAGATGTTTCGCTCAGCTGTCTCCAAGAGGGTCCACTTTCGTGCTGACTTGATTATACCTTGCAAGCGTCTTGACTTGGATGTCTTCAGCTCAAGCTCAGCCTCTCCTGCTCTTAGTATTGGTACTCCTACAGAGGAACAAGAGGCTAGTCCACTCAGTCAAGTTGAGGGCGCGAGTCAAGAGATGAGTCATCCGAGTGAGGAGGAGGAAGGGGTGGATAGGGAAAGTATGATGTCGGGTTTGGTGGCTTTAAGGGGAGTTTGGACGAGCAGAGGAAAAATGTCAAGGACTTAATCACTTTCCTAGGTGGTGATCAAAGTGGAGGACTGGAAACGAACAAGGAAGAACAACTACTGGATGTGGTGGACAGTTTGAGGAGGGAGTTGGAGCAAGAGCGAAGGAAAAACAAAGAGTTGCTTGCGGAGTTGGAATTTCTCAAGGTCATCGTCTCTGGAGGACCTCAGTCCCAAAATGATTTGGAGTCGGCTACAACATACAGTAATTATGATTAGTAAATTCAACTGTTTGAGCCTAGCATCAAACAAAAGCTAGCAACATGTTTTATTAGAATGACATTAAGCATTTAATTTCCCATCATATTCTTGTAATCATTCAATCCAAATTTTGTTCATAGGTTTTCTTTTATTAATATTCCTCCCCCCGTGTATGACTAATCAGTTTGAAGAATAGTCGTATATATAAACAAAGTGCAGTATTGTTTACTTTTTGAATTCAAATGCAGGGTGTCATACTTCTCCATAACTTAATTTAACAACCGAAGTAGTCATATATGTAAATTGTACGTTAAACCAAAGAGTGTATCTGATCTTCTTCTTTGAAGTTCTAACACCGTATCAAAAAGAATAGACTAAAAATAAAAAAAGACAAGGCATCATGTATACGGCTGCATATGGGTAAACCTTTTCCATTAATGCCTTAACAGGATCAAGTATCCTAAACTCAAGACGAACCAGGACAATAGAGTTGATTTCAAAGTAGTCGAAACAGGAATACGTGCTTTGTCCTTCCTTAACAGCATGCCTTCAATCACAGGAAGACTGATGATGAATATGTAAAATGAGAAGAATGCTTGAGCAAACAGTGTATCCCAACTCTGAGTGACTATCGCTCTTGCAACTCCAGCAACAAAGGAAGAAAGATTCAAGGTAACTGCTGTAACAATTGGAACAAGAAACATGTTCGATGTTCTAAAGTCATACTTCCCATTTAGGTACCATTTACTTGTATCATCATCTCCGGCTTTATTGGTAGGCATGAAGCTTGTCTCCCGAATCCCCAACTTTCCCATAACACAGTCAAGAGTACCATAAACATAGGATGTAAGACCCTTTATCAGCACAATCCTTTGCGTGTTCAACCATAAATTTATTGAGCCTCCACATGAAAAAGCCTCATATAGAGGCCTCAAATGTGATGATATAAATACAAAGGCAAATGGTATGAAGAATGGGTCTGAAATCTGCATATATCATGAAGCATGCACAATATCAAACAAAAGACTTATGGACTCATAAATTGTTAGTTACATTAATATACAAAAAGCTACATATATTGACGAATAATTTGAGAAGTTTGACTCTTTTATGTTATGCTTATTTATCATGTAACGTACCTTGGGGTACAAAGGGATGCCATAGAAGAGACAAAGTGGTTGAATGATAGCAAAACACGAAATGGGCAGGAAGTCAAGAGGATAAAGGACGATCCAAGAATAAATCAACTTCTGAAGGATTAGCATTCTGGTTGAAGTGTTAAAAAGAGGGAAATAATTGGATAGACCAAGTTGAAGAAGGCCAGCAGTCCATCTCGAATGTTGAATTATTGCTTCATTGAGATTAGTAGTGGCAGAACCTAAGAACTGTGGACTTGGTGGATTTAAGTAAACTGACTTCCATCCTTTGCTGTGCAATATATAACCCGTCATCACATCTTCGACCACTGTGTCATATCGAAAACCAACCTGCACATACACATAACAACCCAGCCTCCGTTGAGATTAATTAGTTGTGTCAATACCGGTAAAAATTGTACAAGATCAGACTACAAGAAAATGAAATGCTTGCCTTTTTACCCCACTGTGTCTCCTCTTCGTAGACACAAGTAGCTAAGAATTGAGCCTCTTGTAGATAATCAGAGGAAAGTTTCCTTGGATACTCAGGCTCATCAATTTGGCTAAGAGATTTGATGAGCAGATTTGAAGAACCAAAAGTATGTCTGAGCTCATTTATGTTGTCATTACCTGCACAAATTAATGGTTCAACTAAAATCCGCTCATCAACTCGTCTTAATTAGAGCATGGGAGTTAATATAATAATTATTGCATGTGCTAGCTAAATAAAAAAAAAAAAAAACAGGGAAAGTTAAAAGCAGACACACCTGCTGCAGAGATGTTAAAGCCGTACAAGGCCTTCCTGTTGATGTAAAAATTAGTACCAGATAGTATTGGTCCTTGAATTCCATCAGTCCCTGGATAGATTATCTGAACCATTGCATGCTTATTTAGCTTAATCAACTTCACAACAAACACTCTAATCTTTCTACTGATCGATATTAACTTAACGTGTACATGGATATATGTATACTTACAGGCCATGATGCTCTCAGCTGACTATCATAAATGTCCTTTTCATTAATGTTATGAAATTTCTGAGGGAATTGAACCCAAGCTATTGAACGGTTTATCTCAGGATCAACATAAAAACACATAGCTTGCCGAGCTGAATTTGAATCGTTACAGTACATGTCACAGTCTAGGACCAGTATGTAAGGAGCATTGCTGAATATGCTGGAAACCCTTTGCTGCAAACCCAAACAAATAAACAAACAAAAAGAAAAACTTGCCAATTAGATTGCTATACGCCTATACCCTTGTGCAATTTTATTTATGGTCTAAGACGTATGGTTAGTATATATTCTTGAAAGTAGTGTAATTTTACCAGAACATTAAGAGCTCCGGCCTTGAAGTGATGGTGATGAGAAGGTCGTTTCTCACGAGCTACATACACAAGGAAGGGCATTTCTATGTTTTCTGGATTTGTTGTTGCAGAATTGTCATCATCTCCTACAAAACTCTCATTTATCACCTGCCACACCAACACAACATATAGATATAAATACAGCGATTATGATTAATTCAACATTGGAAGAGGAAAAAAATACTACACATTTACCTGTTATCATATATATACAATAAAAATTACTACATTCTTTTGAAATTTAGATGGATAGGAGTAAGCTAATAGTCGATGACTACACGGAATATTCAAATTTGGTTCATGTAACCGACCTCACTTATAGGATTAAGGCTTTGATTGATTGATTGATAGGAGTAAGCTAATGCCTTAGCTAGTACTATCTCTAGCTACGTACATGGATCCAATTTCAGTTAAAATAATTTCAATTGAACAAAAGTAAGGTGAAAAAACAGTGTCTTAATGAAAAGTTTGTTATAAGTATCAAATCTCCTAAACATATTAATTAGTAAATCATATCTAAATGAATTTGATAATATATCACAAACAATATATACGTACCTGACATCCCAACAGATACTGACATTAATAATATATCATGACATTTGATAATCCACATTATTGTAACTTTTATAAAAGATAAAATGTGCCATGTTAGCGCAAGAACTAATCATTCCATTTTTGAAAGCCCTCAATAATCATGAAAGAAGAAGAAAATGAGATGATGAAAATAAACCTGAATAATTGGTGAATGATCTTGAGCACTTCTCTTAGCGTTGTTCTCATTAACATCACCTCGTCTTTCCTTCCAGCTGAGCACTCGTTCCTCGAATTCCTCATACTTCTCCTGCACGTATAGTCACACACACACACACTACATTATTAGCTTCAGGTCTTTATGCAAAAACTAAACAAAATACAAAAATACTTGAAAATTATCATTAAATAAGAAAAAGTAGCCGAGATGCAGGGGAAACTAAGAACTAACCTTAAGTAGCTTAGAATCTTGAATAAAATGAGTGTTGTGAGATGGTTGTTGGAAATGTTGTTGAAAAAAAGCTTTAGGAGAAATTGGTAGAATATTATATCTCTTACAAAATGGTAACCACCAAGTTGCAAAGACCCAAGCATGTTTCATAGCATCCAAAGTGACAGAAGCACCTCCATCATCAGATACATAAACACTTAATTTATGAGCAGGGTAATCCAATGACATTGCAGATATAACTGTATTCATAGCATCAAATGTAGGCTCTCTGATAGGGTCAGCAGTGCATACAAAAACGTCGATTTTGGGCAGTTCCTCATCCACGGGCAGATTCTCGGGAAAGACTGTCCGAGTGAGAGGACGCCAGTAGTAGGATAGCTTGAGGATCCAGGAGAAAAAGAAAAGGATCTCAGCAGCAGATACCAGAAGCCATGGGAGCAAAGGCACCACATTACCGGCATGACCAAAAAAATAGGCAGCTCTCAAGTAGAAAATTGGTGCAGTGGCCAGGATATGTAATAAGGCATAACTTCTGTTAAGGAATGCCCTTACTTTGTGAACATGCCAATCATGAAGTTGAGACTTTTCCATTTTTTTTTACTTTGACTTCAGGATATTGAAGCGAGTGATAAAATATATGAAGAGGTTGTGTGTTCTGTATTGGTGGAGAGCCGTCTAAATTTATAACACTCAATCACAAATAAGAATTACAATTATAAATGGATGAATAAAACAGTAGAGAACGAAGGTGCTGAGAACGCCCTGAATTGCATGAAGGCAAATTTTATAATCTAAGTTATTGAGGTGAAAAGATATGGTCTAAAAAATTTGACACTCTATGTATTATAGTAATTATAAAAAAGAATAAGACAGATATATAGTGATAAGTTGAGTTTTACCTCAAATAATAAAGAAAGATATACAGGCTTAGGTTGAGGAGGAACTATACATCATCGATTACGTAATAAAACTCAACTCCAGTGTAGTGGTTGTCTTTGAGATTTTAATCTTACGAGGAATTAGAATATAAGCTACGGAATAAAACTCAAATGCATGCCTCTGACTTGTCTGTTATATTTCCAAATTTGTATTGTACTTGGATAGCAATTGTGGTTGATACATACAACATTTCCAGAGGTGGAGCTACAAATACTAATACCGGAAATGACCAGGTATAATTTTGTTAAATTGGGCCCTATAATTATTTTTTTAACAAAAAATATCTTACGAAATTATAAATTTTGTGATAAAATTAAAGAATAAATTATTGATTAACAAGTTTTCTCTTTATTTTGTATAAGTAAATTTCAAAAATTGGGCCCTTATATAATAGTTTTACTTAGAATTCCTATGCAAGACCACCCTACACAGTACCATCTGAACAGTACAACATACACCACTCCACTTTCCACTCATTATCCAGCCAGCCAGGCAACTCTCAATTATAATATATATATATATATATATATATATATATATATATATATATATATATATATATATATATATATATATATATATATATATATATATGGACCCTTCTTTTTTTTCTTTTTTTATTTTTTTACAATCTTGAAGATTACAACTCCATCACTGAATAGGCCTTAACAATTAACACCCCACCCCCCCAAAAAAAAAAAAAAAAAACAAAACTAGTCAGTCATATGGGGCAGGGTGCTTGTGGTAAGCAGCCGCCTTAATATTATAAATTAAATGTAGGGTTAGTAAAAAATGGCGGAAAGGTGTAGAAGAGGATGATCAATGTTGGAAATTCGATAATAATAGACAAAGTTTTGATTATTTTAACTGTGTATGACCTTTGAAGACAATGAGTTCACGTAAACGCTGAAGTATAGTATTAAGATTAGAGAATCTAGAGCGGACGAGGATATTGCACCTCATTTGTAATTTAAAATAATGGTACTCCGTAAAATAAAAGTTTGTTGTTAAGTCAACTATATAATTGTCGTGTTATTAATATTGACAAATATACGGCCATGATTTCTAAGCTAAATTTTTGTAGACATTGCAAAATTGTCCTTAAATTTCTAGGCATACCTATCTTCTGGGCAGAAACAGCAGCATGTAATATCGACTGGCCTTTTGTCAAACAATTGAGTGCATCTTCTTTGAATGGCTGCAACTTCTGTAGCATGTGTTGTACAGGATCAGCAAGCTCTTTCACGATGGCCAAATTCAAAGGACAAAACCCCTCAATATTCATAGCATACGCCGCAGAAGGATACAAGTCAACCAACTCCTTTGCCTGCTCAACCTCTTCATCATCATACGTTTCCAAGGCAGTGTGAAGGGCGGTGTTCCCATCGACATTGCTCCACTCTAATACCTGTTGAACTACAACGTCATTGCCTGTTTCCTGTTGCTGCTGTAAACTTTGTCTATAACTCCATCAACTACGAAGTATTCTGTTTTAAACATCACCTGACTTTAATTTTCATTCTACCAAAACCAATTGCTTATAAATTAAATGTAGGATCTTCCTAATAATACTGTCACTCACATGTGAATTACCTATATTAAGCTCTAAGCTTGTATACGTAATGATCTAGAGGCTATTGCAGCAAGAAAATGCTCAAAAATAACAAAGATACAACTGTAGATACCACGCATAGTAGCTGATAATCTGATATATAGTGGAATACGTGTATTGTCTTTCCTTACCAACATTCCTTCTATCACCCGCTAACTCACCTACAACATAAAATGAATAGGTATATTCTGATGATAAGGATGCAGTGACAGCAAAACACAAAACTGTTGATACATTCTGAAGATATTGCATTCTTGAATATACTCTGAAGATATATTCTGAAGATACATTCTGAAGATATACTGAAGGTCGTGAATGTCAACCAGGAACAACATATTCTGAAGATATTGCATTCTTGAAAGTCAGTAAATTAGGGGAAATTGAAAATAGACTACTCTCATTTGACAATTTTAAGGAACGTTTATGTTATGGAACGTTTGAGGAAATTGAACCCAGCCTGGCCTAAGGATGAAGAAAATAAGAAATCTTCATATCAAGGTAAAAATACATTGCTTACCGAGCTGAGATTGAGACATTGTGGTTTGCGGTACATGTCAGTCAAGGACCAGAACTTAAGGAGAATTGCTCAATATGCTAGAAACTCTCAGCTGCATCATAACAGCCAAAATTATAATTAAAGAAACACCAGATAATTAGTACTTTGTATGTATGTAAGCGTTTCTTGGATGACCTGCATACATTTTAATGCATTACAATTGTCACAAGAGACTTGTTTGAATGAGAATTGATTCATATCATACATACTAGTGCAATTAGAAGGTCTTATCTCACAAAGCAAGGTATATGATATGAGAAGAGGCAATCTCATATACTAGTGCTGTTCAGGGTTTAAGGTTGCAGCATCTTACATAGAATTCTCGCTTATTATCATCTGGTGCACCAATAGTTTTAAATTATGAATCTTTAGCATTTCCCATTCATGACATTTTGATGATCTAAGTATGTAGCCTTTTTATACAAATACGTACTCTTGAATATGTAATTGTTAGAAATCTAAACCTTCTTCCAAGCACATCTATTAACAATTTTATTATTGTTGAGTTATAGTTATTATCCCCTTAGCTTGTTACCCCCTCGACTTTTCTTCCAAATAGCACAGTCCATACAAAAAATTTAAGCTCAGTAATTGATATTTTTGGCCAAGTGTGAGTTGTATGTCATTCAATATAAATTCCAGATAAAAATAAAGGATAGTCACAAATGGAGTGTGTGGGTGCGAGTGTGAGTAGCGTAGATAAAACAACACGTAAAAGATAAGGAGAACCTGAAGTCCTAAACAAGCGGTGGTGGATCCATCAGATGATGATTATCACCAGAAACATCACCAAATCTGTTTGTTTGTTGCTTCGTACTCTTGCTGCTTCAAAGCCTCATATTTCTCCTACATGCATAGATCAGTTATCACTCATCATCGTATGTTCTATAATTCAATGCAATAATTATAAACAATATTCAATCTCATGTTGGTTATGACTACATATACATACTGTTGATGTATGTAATACGTACAATTTAATTACATGCAAGTAACACACTGTAGGTAGTAAATTTATATAGTGAATAAAGTCCTTAAAATTAGTCTAGCTGACATCAAGATGATGAACATACGTTATTCCTCCTGAAAATAAACGTGTCTTGAGAATTTATGCATCGTACACAGAGCAGGGAAATCCAAGGACATTGCAGATATTAACACTGTTAGTTATGTTGATAACTTCATAAGTGGACAATCTTTACAAATACAACTCAATTGTAGCAGTTGTTAAACGTTCTTTTCTGTTTGTATTTGTAATTATGAATTTTTAATATTCATCTAATTAACTACATTTTTATTAATTTTGCAGACTTTTTGATTAAATATATACTACTGGCCTTTATACATTTTTATTTATTAATTTAGTTGCGGGGGCCAAACAATGTACTGAGGTCCTAAATCATTTCTTTTATCATTAATCCACCTTTAAATTAATTACACCAAACATAAAACATGACTACATGTGTTCCAAACAAAAAAAAAAAAAAAAAAAACATGACTACATGAATAGCCAACAGTTTTATTTATTTAACAATAAAAAAAAGGATTTAATCCTTTTACGATAAGAAGATAAAACATCCAAAGATGATGGAAAGCACAACAAAGACGGAAGATGTTAAAGTAGCAGACAATGGAATGCAGCCCTTGTCCTGCCTAACAAACATGGTTTCCAACAGTGGATAACTGATGATCAACCCATATAATGATAGAATTCCCTGACCAAACATTTCATCCCAATTTCCTACACCAATCACTCTTGCAACTCCTCCCACAAAGCAACACAGGTTTAAGGAGATGACGCTCACTAACGGAACAAGAAACATATTTGATGTGCTAAAGTCATACGTCCCCATTTTCATATAACTTAGCTTTATTACTGTCCTCAGCTTTATTAGTAGGTATGAAAGCCCGAGTTTCGCCATCACACAATCAGCAACTCCATAACCAAAGCATGTAAGAGACTTTATTTTCCAAATCCTTTGTTCGTTTAGCCATGTTCTTACTGACCCTACCGTGTCAACAACTTCACATAGATGCTTCACCAAGGATGATATAAAAACAAATCCAAATGCTATGAAAAATGGGTCTGATACCTGCATACATATTTAAATTCCTTTAGTTAAGTGTTTAAACCTGCAATATTCCTACTTCAGAGCACATACAATTAATCTTACTATTACAGAGTTGACTTACTAATCAATAACTTTAATATATCAAATGCACAACCTACATACGTGGTATTTACCTTAGGGTATAATGAGACACCATAGAGGTAGCTAATCAGAGGAATGGTAACAAAACACCAAACTGCTATAAAATCAAAACAGTATAAGACGACCCAGGATGAAGATATCCGATGAAAAATTTGCATTCTTGACGGACTGTAGAAAAGGGGGCAATACTTTAAAAGCCCAATTTCAGCAAGTCCTGAGATCCATCTGCTAAATTGAATCAAATATTCATCGAGATTAGTCGTAGCAGAACCCAGAAACTGTGGCCTTGGTGGATTCAAATATACTGATCTCCACCCTTTGCTCTGCAACATATAGCCTGTCATTGCATCCTCCAATACACTTTTATACCAAAAACCAGCCTGCACATTAAAAAATTAACTTATGATGATCCATTTCTCAGTTTTCATAGTCATTAGAATTGGCTTCTAAACTTCTACATACTTACCCCTTCACCCCATTTAGTATTTTCTTCATAAGTGCAAGAGGCTAAATACTGGGCTTCTTGTACTGGAGCAGTGCAAAGCTCACTGTGCTTGGTTTTACTAGGCATGTCATTTTGTCTAAGTGACTTGATGAACTCAGTGGAAGGACCAAGTATCTTTCTTGCTTCCCTCATTATGTCATTACCTACAAGAATCTTAAGCAAGGATTATTAGCCCCTACAATTTGGTACTCTCAGTGAGAAGTAGATAAAATATGAGGCTTAGAGATAAGGCAATATATAAGGGGAACCTGATATCAAGTCCCAAACATGGCTTCTCAAAATCTAAATCATCAATTAGTATTCATGGAATCTTGCCTTAAATGGTACAATAGTTACAACCCAAAAACAAAATTAGAAGAGGCTTACAAACACACCATCATAAATGTTGACGCCATACAAAGCCTTCCTGTTGATGTAGAAATTAGTACCAGATATCACTGGCCCCTGAAGTCCATCTGCCCCTGGCCAATAAACCTGGAATCCAGTGAACCAAACTAAAACTTCTTCCCTAAAAATTAACTGAAATACGGATAACATAACCATAGATTGATTGACTTACTGTCCATACGAATCTCATCTGACAGTCATAGATGTCATTCTCATTAACATTATGGTATATCTGGGGGTATTGAACCCAGCCTAAAGGTGATATTTTAGGATCAAGATAAAACACATTGCTTGTTGAGCTGAAATCGAGTTGTTGCAGTACATATCACAGTCTAGAACTAGAATGCAAGGAAAATTGCTCAATGTGGCAGAAATTCTGAGCTGCAATTCCAATAATTACATTAAACGGATACATATAAAGAAATTCAGGCTAAATTTCTCACTACATCCTTAAGAGCAATGGTTGCATCAAAGACAGATTATATGAAAGTGCTAGAGTCATACTAGAACATTAAGAGCTCCGGCCTTAAAGTGATGAGGATGAGAACGTCTTTTTTCATGGGCAACATAAACAAGGGAAGGCATCACTACATGTTCTGGATTAGCTGCAGTATCTTCTTCTATAACCTTCCCATCTATCACCTGCAACAACATAGACATAGAGACTTTAACATCATTAAATTTAAAAATTCGAAGTAGTTAATGAAACATAAAACTAATTGACATATACTACCTCCAGTTCTTGTTACTTGCAACAATTTCCTAAAATGGATGGTTCACATTACTTGCAACATTTTTTTTTCTTTCCTTATTTAGTAAGTTTTTGGGTGGAATTTGACTAAAATACCCTTACTTTTTGTTTAAAGACCCTAATTAAAAAACTGATTTTATCTAATTAACTTAAACCCTAACATTGATTTAAGTTAACTATTTCCACCAAAATCAATCCCCTTCCATTAAATCAACCACCAAAACCAATCCCAACCACCTTCATCATCCTTCATCTTCTTCCTCATCCCCATTATTTTTCTCTCCTCCTCCAACCCCACTCCCATTACTTTTCTAGATCTGTGGGTTTTCGTGGGTTCATGGGTTTGTGATTTCAGATCAATGGGGGGTAGATGGTAGGTTGTGGGTTGCAGATCATGGGTGCGAGATCGTCGGCGGTAGGTTGTGGGTTGCAGATCGTGGGTGCGATGGGTAATGGGTTCTTGGGTTCGTGGGTGCGGTGGTGAGTGGTTTCATGGGTGTGGCGGGGGTATCGTGGGTGAGGTGGTGGTTTTGTGGTTGCGGTGGTGGTTTCGTGGTTAATGGGTTGTTTCGGTGCTGCTGGGTGGTGGTGGTGGGTGGTTTCGGTGCTGCAGGGTGGTGCTAGTGGTGGTGGGTTATTAGTTTAATTTTAGTTGAATTTCTTTTTTTTTTCGGTAGGATTAATGTTTAAGTATATGCCCTTATTTTTCACTAACTATGCTTAAGATCTTTTGTCTAGGAATCCGCAAAACACCTCTTTGTTGCGAGTAACAAGAACCGGAGGTAGTATTACTTTTCTTTACGTCCTTAATTACCAATTGTTTAGTCAAAGTGTACCTACATCACAAATTATTCAATCTACTCCTTTAGTATAGTGCTGAATAAAATAAGTTTAACAAAGTTTACCAAATATTATAATTAATAAGACTGGAAAACGTCTCTATCATTGCTAACCTTGAAATTGTTTAAACAAGCTTAGCTCAATTAAGCTAATATAACCACTTAATCATTGCAAAGTTTTAATAAGCTAATATGGTAATACTTGCTCTTTTAAAATGCATAAAATCATACGAATATTAACAATAATTGAAGGAATCAAATATTAAAAATACAGAAGGTAAGCGTACAACATTTAAAAACAAGAAATCAACCTGAACATTCGACGGATGATCCTGAGCACTTCTCTTAGAATCACCATTGATCTCATCGCCGACTGACTTCCTTTGAACTCGCATCTTGAAAGCCTTGTATTTTTCCTACACAAATTGTTTACTCCTATGGTGACTATTCAGCATTACATGTGTTTTAACTTATTTCAATAAGTAAAAAGTAGCAGCAGTTCAATTAGAAGCAGTAGAAAGGTAAAGTATTGAACAATATAAATAAATTTACAAAGCATCAAATTAGTTTGACTGTTTGAGAGTTGAGATGTACTATTGAAGAAACATAGAGCATGGAATATTTGTAAATTGTCAGGAGAGAAGTGAATATTTATAAGCCAAACCTGAAGCGTGTTTCTATCTTCAATGAACTCCCTGCTCTGACTTGCCTCCTCCGTCTTCTCAAAATAAGCCCGAGGACATATTGTCTTAACATTCTACCTCCTGCAGAAAGGCAACCACCATGTTGCAAATACCCAAGCATCTTTTATACCATTCAATGTCACAGAGTCACCCCCATCATCAGACAAATAAACACTTAATTTCTCAGCAGGATAATCCAAAGACATGGCAGAAATAACAGTATTCATGACCTCAAAGGTCGGCTCCTTCTTAGGATCAGTTGTACACATAAAAACATCAATTCCAGGTAACTTTTCATCCTTAGGCAGCCTCTCTGTGAAGATGGTCCGAGTAACAGGCCACCAGTAGAATGGCTGCTTGAGGAACCAAATAAATGAAAAGAGAAGCTCGGCAGCAAATAGTACAAGCCACAGTAAGAAAGGAATCAATTTAAAACCAGCTTTGTCAAGGAAAAAGATTGCTCTGTAGTACAAAATGGCAACTAAGGCCAAGAAATGTGAAAGGGAATGTGATAGATAGAGAACTGCCTTTAGTTTATGAACATGGCAGTGATGAAGAGAAGTAGTATGAGTGTGAGAGTTCTCCATTGCTGTTCTGGACTTCTGGTTGTTTTGGCACACATTAAGGTCATTAAATAGCATGATCCACCAGAATGAATTCACTTAGATATAATGTTTTCAATTCTCAAAGGGGGGCAAAAAAAAACAAATTAAAGTAAGTAGGACTTGTGGAAAGAGATGTAAACGCAAAAGTGGTGAGGGCCCTAAAAATAAATATAAAATGCATGGGAAAACAAAAGTATAATTAGGAGGATGAATTTTCAAAGAAACAAGTTAACATCAACTTTATATTGAATTAAAATATAATTACCTCCGTTTTTTTTAGTTGACACGTAATCCTTTTAGAATTTTTTTTTTAGTTGACACGTTTCTTTTTTGGGTAAATTTTATACCTTACATTTACTAGATACCCCACTTGCTTTATCATTCTCTCTCACTCTCTCTCCTTTCCTTAATATGTGTGCCTAAATTGAACACGTCAACTAAATAGAAACGGAGGAAGTATTATCCCAGTAATTAAGACAAGGAAAGAAACCAAGGTGATTGGAATGTATACAAAGAATATGGAATTTCTTTATTGATATGGACAAATATAGGTTTAAAAGTAGTGCATAACATGATAACTATCAGCAGTCTGCAATTCTGCATAGAAAATAACTGGAGTTAATTTATTTGTAGAGAACGGATAAAATAGCAATTTGAGGGACCAAAATCTGAAAGAATGTAAGCACCGAATGACATTAAGAAAAAGAAAAAAAAGGAATTTCGTTTTACAGAATTGCAGCCCAGCAGAAGATCAGCACAACAATTTGATGAGCTGTATGTATAAACATGTAAACTACTCCTGATAATAAGGAGAGAATAAATCATGAAACTAAAGGAAGACTTCATCACTTTATTATGATCCAAAACAGCAATGAGAAGTAAAGTTGTTCTGTCTACTGAATCATAATATATCCAGACCATTGGACAAAGAAGTAAGAACTGGTTAGCAAGATCACTTGGGGAGACAATGGCCTTATTCTTCAAGTATATACCTACACTTGCAGTCCAGAGCTTGAATGTGTCAAAATCCACCAAATTCCATGTGGGAAGTGGGTGGATTTCTTTTCCTGATGTAACCCCCACAACCCCTCTCAAAAACACTGTGGAAATCAAAGTTGACTGCCTGACTGGCTAATCATTGGAATATGTCCCCAATTACAGGAAAAAGAGAGAGATGCCAAAATGCAAGACCTGTCATCAATAAGAATGACACCTTGCTTCTATTATTTATGGGGAGAATCCTAAATAAATTGAGAAAAAAAAATTATTTATGCTTCTATTTCCCATTTTTAATACAAGCTTGAAGCATAATCTTTATGACATCTTGCTTCTAACAATTTTAATGATTTCCCACCATGTTTGATGCCCACTATTCATGAAGTCAAAACAATATGAAGATGGAATAAATGCTTACAAAAAAGTAAAAAAAAAAAAAAAGAGGGACATGTCATCCACAACAAAGAGGGTTAGATGCCCAATTTACAAAGCACATAAGATCTAATCTAGTCATCCACATAAACAAAGTTGACATGTCAAAAAAGCATACCATTTGCCAAAATACTAAGCATCCAAAAGGAGAAACGAAATCAAAAGAAAGCTCTGTAGCATTAGATAGTTTATAATGATTTCTAACAATTTAACAAGAAACTGAATGTACATCAATATCTAAGAACCTTAGAATTTACCATATTTAATTTAAGTCGTCATCTTTGCCAAAGCCAAAGGCAGTCTTTTTCTCTTTCTGCTGCTGCAACATGAATTCATCAAACTGCTTAGCTCTTTTTTGCATGTCCTTAACTACCTCATATGTGGCAGCATAAATCTGCTTAGGTAAATATACTTCCAAATAATCAAACCATTCCCCTAGAGTCATCTTTTCCAGGTCGGGTACAACAGTGACCTCAGGATCTTTGCTTCTATCATAACACTTGACCTCTGACTCTTTAACAATCTCTTCAATATCTGATTCTTCCACTCTCCCATCATTCAGCACTACATCACTCTCTACTCCATTACAAACCCTTTCCTCAGCATGAGAAACGCCAACCAGACTGCCATCCTCTTGGGCACCTTCCTCCGCACAATCTTGCTCTCTCACACATTGAGCACCTCCATCCTGATCAAGAACCACCCCCTCCAAAAACCGTGCATTTGTCTTATCATCTGATACATTTTGCTGAAGAGTACCATCCATCCATTTTTCGCAAGGTTCCTGCCTTAAATTCACCACCTGTTCAGGCAACTCCTTCCCCAACGCCTCAGAATCCCTTATCTCTTCCAAAACAACATCTTGAGCAGCTTCAGTTTCTTCCATTCTCCGATCGTCCAACATTACATCACTCTCTATGCCACATAGACCATCTTCCTGCTGAGTAGTCTCACCCATCGGTTCTGCAAAATTCTGCTCTTTCAAAGACGGAGCACCTCCCTCTTGTTCAGAAAGCTCCACCTTTAAAACTTGCTCATTCATTTTATCACCCTTCAAATCTTCACAAGACTGCTGCTGAGGAACTTCCTTATCTAATACCTCATGATTATTCATCTTCTCCTCCGGAAAATCATCCAAAACATTATCTAAACTCCTAACACCATGCTTCTTTTTCCTCCCACGACCTCCTCGTGTCTTGTTATTTTCCACCACTTGCTTACAATCATCCACATCCAATCCCTTGGTTTCCTCCATAACAGAGATGGGCATCTCTACAACCTCGGCATTCTTTCCACGCCTAGTCCTCCTCGGCTGCATTACCTGTTCTAAACCCAGAAATTCAACTTCTCCTCTCTTAGAACTCCTAGTGTTCCTCTTACTCATAACACCTTCCAAATTCACAGCATGTTCATCCTCTTTTGTCGCACGCCCTCTTCCGCGCCGTTTTGGAATTTGTTCAACCATACTACTCTCTACATTCAAATCCTCAACCCCAGAATTGGAAGCAGGTCGCCTAATAAGGTTATCAATTTCATCCCGAAATTTCAAATTGGAACCCTCAATAACCTTAGTTCCCAAATCAATAGCAGCTTTTCTATTCCTAGTAATTCTACGGCTGTTAGTTTCCTCCTGAATTAGGGCAATTTCAACCCTAATAGAGGTAAGCTCACCAATTTTAATCTCATCCCCATTTTGAATTACAGAAGGGAAAAGGGGTTTAAGTTGAGAGGAGTTCAAGATAGTACCATTTGAAGAATCGAGGTCTTTGATTTCCCAGTTTCCAGAATCTGGGTTGAATTGAATGATGAGGTGTTTGGAGGAAATCCCAGAATCTTTGATGGTAAGATTGTTTCCTTTGACGACTCGGCCGATTCGAACACTGGATCTGGAGTTGAATTCTAAGGTTTCACCTTGTCGAGGACCTTGTTGCATTAGCAGCTTCAGAGTTGATGATTTAGAGGACGCCATTGTTGGAAATTTGGAGGTTGAATTGAAATCAGAAGAATTGAAATGAGCGTAAGTAGTTTACAACTGGAGTTGTTGGCGCTCTCTGGAATTTCAAAATTCTTTCATTGTGGAGCTAAGTTGCACGGATACCGACACGGACACGATACGGACACGGAAAACGGCAATCCTGAAATAGGGACACGGGTACGGCGTATAACAAGGCATATAATATATAAAAAAAACGATAATTTGACAACTTATTCAATAAAACACTAAATAATTAGCCTCAAAGCACACAATTTTGTTAAAACAAGTAAATAAACAAAGTGTACGAACGTAGTCTCGTACATATTAAGAAATCATCAAACCAAATACATGTCTTAATAATAGTTTTACAAATCATAAATAAACTAAACATAAGTACTAATAGTTTCATTCTTCACCATCACCAAGTACATCATCAAAAATCATATTTTCCATCTCGGGTTCATCAAGTAGAGCTCAGCCATCTCTAGAATACCAACCTCTCCTAGGTTGTCATGCTCATCTCCACCCACATCCCAGAACTTAGATCACCCCTTAGTGTATTCTTCACTTCTCCTATAAATTAATCGAAGGTTGTTACGAATGTATACCAAGTCTTGAGCACGTTTAGGAGTAAGCATATTTCCAGTGCAAGAATGAATAAACTTATAGGTGCTCCAATTCCTTTCACTGCAAGAAGAGGAAGAAGGTTGACCTAATAGCTTATAAGCCAAACCTTGAAGCATAGGCACTTGGGAACCATAAGTTGCCCACCAATTTTTAGCATCCATCAAAGCCATATCATGCATGCAATCAATGTTGAGAAAGATCCCCTCTGATTTTTGTGAAAATATTGCAAATTCCGTGTTGATCTTGAATCTTTCATCGGGACTTTGGAAAAGCCTTCGAAAGCATTGTAATCTTTGTGTGGAAATTTCATTGTCGGCATTTGGAGCAACTCGTCCCGGGACCTCATTAAGCCATTCTGCCGTGTAAAATCTTTAACAACAAAATAAGAATAGCCATAAGAAATTAAATAAAAAACAAGGAAAAATAAATAAAGATAATAAAGATGAATTAAATAAGTAAAACTTACCTTGGATTCAAAGAATGTGCTAATGAATGGAGTGGAGTACTACCCTTACTCCAACGACTACTAAGAATCCCTTTAATTACATTAAAGAAGGTAGATTCTTCATAATCTAGTTTACCCTCTTTCTTATAGATGGCATCTTTCACCTTTTGAACCATAATGTCCCATCTTTCATAAACCAAATACAAGGAAGATTTGTCAGTGTCACAAACCCTAATCATCTCATAGATTGGGCGTGTGAAATCAAGAATGTAATCAACTTTTTCCCATCACATTTCATCCAAAATCTTTTCCCTTACATGTGAGGCTTGCCCGCGTCGGTCATCCTTGTATAAAGACCAATTCTCACTAATAACCATTGATTGAAGTGATGTTTTAAGGAGTTTCAACCTTTTAAGCATGCACACAATTGAAGCAAAACGAGTATCGACTATGGAAAGTAGTTTTAATGGAGAAAACTTATTGAACATTGAAAGCCTCAACGAATGATTCATTATGTAATTTTTAATGAACAAGGCATCTACATGAACTTCCGTTATCCAATGACATTCATCATATACTTCAACATTATTCAACACATTCTTAGCTGCACAAATGCTTTTCATTGCAAGATTAAGTGTATGAACAGCACATGGTGTCCAATATATATGAGGATACCTACCCTCAACCAATTCCCCTGCAGCCTTACAATTACTTGCATTATCTGTGATTATTTGAACAACATTTTGATCTCCAATTTCATCAATCACCTCACTTAATAAGGTAGCAATGAAATCTTTGTCCTTAATCTCAACTGAGCAATCAATAGCTTTCATAAACATAGGACCCGTTTCAGAAGCAATCATAATGTTAATCAAAGGCCTTCTTTGTGGATCATTCCACCCATCACTAACAATGCTAACACCTTTTGTTTTCCATGTGGCTTTAATAGGTTGTAATAACCTATCCACATTTTCTGTCTCTTTACAAAACAAAGTTGTTCTAAGTTTGTTGTATCCAGGAGGTTTATAACCAGAGAGATTAGAATTGGCAGCAATTGTATATGAACTAACATAGTAAGGGTTTCTAGCAAGATTAAAAGGTAACCCCTCCTGTGTAAAACATTCTAGCAATTTCAGAATCCAAATGGTCACGAGATTTCATATTAAAAGCATCGAAAATTGTATTTTTTGTTTTCCTCTTCTTTACATTATCAAATGAACCTAGTCTCACTTATGTAGCATCAGTTGATATGTGAGAAGATATGTGTTCATTTGAAAAAGGTGGAACTGTTGGTAACAAAGATTTTTTATAATCCTCGGATTCACGATGAAGCTTTCTTAGTTTAGCAAGGTCATCAATTTTCACTTTAGTACAAGTTTGAATCCCTTTCCCTTGTTCACCTAGCAAATGAGCTTTCATTCTAGTGTATGAACCATTTTAAATTCGCCGAAAAAGTTACATTTCCAATTATAATTTCCTCCGACACCTGATATTTTATCACCCTTAACAACAAACTTCCACAAAGGGTAGGGGTCTTTCATAGACTCAGATGAATTACTACTACCACTGACATTGCATGAAGCAGAGGAACTAGAAGACATTCCTTACAATTTCAGCAAGACAACAATACAATTTCATCAACACAACAATATAATTACAGCAAGTCAGCAACACAAAAATACAACTTCAGTCGAGCGACGGCGAAGTCAGTAGGCGAGCGGCGACGAAGAAAGTTCTGAGTCTAACTTCTGAGTTGCGACTTGTGAGTCCTTGTGAGTTGTGACTAGTGACGGTGAGACTGTGAGAGTAGGCGAGGCGGCGAGCACGAGCAGGCAGCAGCGACGGACGATGATGATAAGTGATCGGCGACGGTGAAGCGATGGCTGGCTGAGTGGCTGGGTATTTCTCAGGGAGTTAGGGTTTCAATTTTTGTGAGAATGTGAGAGAGAATGAAGGAAGTTGGGCCTTTACATGCTATGTGCGTGTCCATTACTAAACGGACCGTGTCTGGGGGTGACACGGTCCGTGTCCGTGCATCAGGAATTTAAAAAAAAGACGGACACCGTTTTCTACGTGTCAGACACGTATCGCCTCGTGTCCCATGCGTATCCGTGTCCAACACGCGTGTCGACTCGGACACGCCAGCCAAGTGGCGTGTCCGTGCAACCCAGTTGCGGAGTAGTTTAAAGGAGCAACAGAGTATTTTTTTTTTTTTTTAATCCGTCTCATAATATAGTTCCTGTTTTTCTATTTTGCAGAGCCAAAATTTTGTTTCTAATTCTATATTTGGATAATATGTAAATACTATTATACCCTCACTTTTTTAACTTTATTCATTGTACTTCTTCCTATATTACCTTTGAATTTTGCACATGTCTTATACTTCTTTCCACTTTCTGCTCCTACTTTTTAAATACCGTGAAAAAACACAATATGAACCAAATATTATGGGATAGAGGAAGTACTTATACTACTTGGGAAGTTTCAATTTTGAATATTTGCAATGTTGAATAAAGAATTGCAGACAATTCATTTAATAGGGCCCAATTTACATAATTTGCTATGGAGTACTAGGGTGTCTTTTATTTGGCCGGCTGCTGACCTATTTAGATTCGCGAAGGTGGTCGATTGTGGGCATGGCCATGGGTGGGGAGGAGAGAGAAGAAAACAGTGACCATGGGAGTGGAGGAGAGAGAAGGAAACAGTGACCAAGACAGAGAAGGAGAGAGAAAATTTGGTGATATAAACAAGTTTTGTTAATATAGGATATTAACTGGATTTTGCTCAAACTTAAATGTTGCATAGAAAAACAATAAAGGAACTATTTCACCATAAAATTTAAATATATACTTCGTCATTCATTACCAAACTTGTTTTATAACTTATTATATCCAAAGTCCAATATGGGGTATTGGTTACAACTTACTATATCCAAAGTTTAATATGGAGTATTGGATACAACATTTGTTGTAGGAACCATTAGAGTTTCAAAAATCCAGATACAAATCATTACTGTAAGTTAAAAAAATTTTAAAAGGTTAAAATTTTGAATATATTCATCTACCAATATGAATCCAATAATGCAAGACCATCATACAAGATTATATTTTTCATTCCGTAAAAATCACAACTGATAATCAAAAGTTTGTATATACTTGTATACTCTTTGTTCTTGCAAGAGGGAAAAAACAAATGGTATTGAATTCATTATTATTGAGAATGCAGCCGGCTACAAGTGTTGCGGATCTTAATAAAAATAAACAGAAACGAGGACTAATCTTGAGAAGTAAAGTGAAAACTGTACTAGGCAGTTATTCAATCACTCCTTATTTTTTCTTCCTAAGTTTGTCTGTACCTTTTGTAACAATCCCTTCGAAAGTAGGGTAACTAAGAAGTAGGAGATAAAAGGACAGGAAAAGTTGGCCAAACATATCATCATAGTTGTTGTGGATGATCACCCTTATGAGTCCTCCAATGAACGACACCAAATTTAGTATTGTCAAAATGATGAGAGGAACCATAAGCATTGCTGCCCCTGAGAAATCGAACTTTCCCTTCTCGTATTTATCCAACTTCTCTTTCTCCACTACCTTGTTTGTTAATCTGAATGTTGTTTTCTGTATCCCAATCTTCTTCATTATTGCTTCCGTTGATCCAAACAAGCAGGCTGATAGTGCTTTCATGATCCAGATTCTCACCTCATTCCACCATTGTTGCACTGAATGATCACTTGACAGCACCTCGTATAGATGTTGAACATGGGAGGATACAAATACAAACACGAAACCCAGTATCCATGGATCCGATACCTTCAAAGTCACATGCAGTACAAACATCATTATTCACCACACATATACATAAATGTAGCACATATAATGTTACAGCAAATGATCGATCTGCAGGTACTCTGTTGCACAGAGGAAGAGTCTTACCTTGGGAAAAACAGGAACGCCTCTAAGTAGGGAGAATGGAAGAACAACACCATATATAAAGAGCGGAACTGCAAGAAGACCTGAACATGTGATGTACGCATAACACATGCTTTGCAAAATAGACATTCTGGACATAGCATAAGTGAGAGGGCTAAACTTGGACATGGCAACTCCAAGTAATCCGGAGGTCCATTTTATTAATTGAACAATCGCATCCTTCATGTCAATTGTCGTGCATCCCAAGAAGCACGCTCTTTTTGGATAAAGATACACAGATTTCCATCCTTTACAATGTAAGAGATATCCAGTGTATGAACTCTCCAACAAGCAATCATACGAAAATCCTACCTGTATGTAAGAAAACTTTCTTCAGGAATTTGATACTTGTATGATAAATAAGAAGTATTTTCCTGGTACAGTATCAAATACTTGCCTCAACACCCCATAGCGTGTTTGCTTCATAAGTGCAAGTAGCCAAATTTCTAGCCTCTTGTAACAAATCGTTTGTGAATTCCTTCAAGACAAGATCTTGGTTGGAGTTCTCTTTAAGTGAAGCGATGAATTTTGTGGAAGAACCAAAGGCCTTCTCTGGTTCATTGATGAGGTATTCATCTGCAAATGCAATAAAATTTAGTCACCAATTATTATAATGCACAATATCATAGCATTTTCCAGGATATATATCAGAGTTTTCCATTTAACCTTCATTATGAGGCCTTCCATATATTGCCTTCTTCTTCAGATAATACCCAGTTCCATTCAAGACCGGTCCTCTGAGTCCATCCATGCCTTGCCATTTTGTCTGCATCATAATAAAATTGGAATTCATTATATTGCATATTGCAAAATATGGTATCATTTATAACCTATGTAGTTATACAAGTAACATAGTTATAGAAAATCAACCAGTCCAAAAGTTAAGTGCAGTGTACCGTATGAGCTGATCTGGCTTGGCCATCATAGATATCATTTTTGCTAGTGTTGTAGAAAATTTGCGGGTATTGAACAAAGGCAAGAGAGGGAGCCATGTTTGGGTCAAGATGGAAGCACATAGATTGACGAGCAGAGGTTGGATCATGACAGTACATATCACAATCCAACACCAATAAGTAAGGCGCATTGCTCAATAAACCTGATACTCGAAGCTGCCAAGGATTAAGTTCAAATTTGATCAGTTAATGGCATTACAAAATAAAAAATTAAGATTGAAGATGATGAAGCTTGCTTACAAGAGCGTTAAGGGCTCCAGCTTTGAAACGATGAGGAAGACCTGGTCTCTTTTCCCTGGCTACATAAACCACAAGGGGCATTTTCACTTCACCTTCTCCATCCTGCTTGCTGTCATGTATAATCTGACAATTTATTTTTTTTTTGTAAAGAATGCAACTGTCAGTTTAAATTCTTCTATGAAACGAACCATTACATCTATGTAACACAATACTGAGTTTTAGCATAACATAATTTGGGCTTCATTATCCAATTACAAAAACACATGGTGCTTTCTAAGAAATCAATTTTCTTACTTCCTCCGTTTTTTTATATGCATCGCTTTCTATATATGGAAATTTAAATTTAAATGCATTAATTTCCTTTTTAGTTAATAAATTCTCTCTATCTTTCTCCTATCATATGGGTCTTCTTTTTCCTTTCTATCTCTCTCATTTCCAAAACTTGTCTAGGAATCCGTGATTTCTAAAATGATGCATCTAATAAAAAACGGAGGAAGTATATGTAATTGGAACATGATGCACATGGATCATCTTCTCCTAAAAAACATATTCTACTCCATAAATAAATGAACATGTCTCTTTTTTTTTAAAGTAATAGATCATATCTCATCTCTAATCATATAAGAACATTCAAATCATAACAAAATGAAAATGCAATAAATTACGGAGTAACATTTAATTCAAATATTAATAGTCAGTTTCATATTAATAGTATGAGTAATATTCATGCTTGATTCAATGTACTTTATCATCTGCAATTATACAAACTATAAACAAAATGAAAATTTAATGTCAAAATTTATACGACTAAGGGTGCGTTCTATTCATCAGATTTTTACTTATCTAACTTGGATAGTCCTGATTAACCCTTGTCACAAATTATCTAAACTTATTTTTCTTGAGTTTATCTTATTTGAACTTATTAACCCTTATCTAAACTTATTTTTCCAAAAATAAGTGAAAATAAGATGAATAAATTAGGACCTAATATTAAAAAATTGAGAGAAACGCACCTCGATGCAAGGGGCACGATCATGCACAACGGTGCATTTATTATAATCACCGCTTTCTTTCTCCACATATTTCTTAAAAGCTTCATATTCCGACTGCAATACAACATCAGAAATCAGCGGTCAAAATCAATTGAAATTGTTAATTTGTGTTACTATGACAGTGCACATTTTTCCTCAAAAATAGATAAAATAAAATAATAGTGCACAATATTCAAGATGAATATGAAGCATATATTTATGTACTATAAAGGTATCTTTAATTTATTTATTACTCCATAATAGAAAAAAGATGCATTAAAGTTAAAGAAAGCAAAACGTACAAAACTGAATTAAAAAATGCTACCTTATTAGGTACTGACATACTGTATTAGTTTTAACTTTAAGGTACTCCCTTTGTCCCTTATTTTTTGTCCCATTGCAAATATTTAAAACTTTGACCATAAATTCTCGTTAATCTATTAGTGATAATATATTCAAGTGGGATCTTATTAGAATCATCTCATAATATATTTTATTAATATTAAGTTTTTATAATTTTTACGTGTATAAAAATAAAGATATATACGTTTGAAGACATGTCTTGAAAACCGTGAAAAATTAAATGGGGCAAAAAATAAAGGAGAGGGAGTATTATTTATGTGATATAATATTTTAAAATTACAATTAATACTATTACTTGCGATATTTTAAAATTGCAATTAATACTTAATGGAGTAGTATTATTTGTACCTTTAGCAGTGATTCATGAGCGATAAAGTCGTGATCCCAATGAAGTCTTTCATCATCACCCAAAGCGGAGAAGAAAGCATCTGGACACCTAGTCTTAATAGCATACTTGTTACAAAAAGGAATCCAAACCTTAGCAAAATCAACAGCCTTCTTAATAGCCTCTCTAGTCAAAGGAGAACCTCCATCATCCGACAAATATATCGCCATCTTTTCAGGCGGATAATCGAGCGCCATGGATGATATCACAGAGTTCATCACTTCCAACACAGGCTCCTTGGTAGGATCGGCGGTGCATATAAAAACGTCGATCCTTGGAAGGTCACGTGGATTGATGGACTCATAGCCAGACACGTCATGCAAGACGGGGCGCCAACGGAAGGCCTGAGTCATGGCCCAAACGAAGGTGAAAACGAGGTCGGCGATGGTCAATAAGATCCATGGCAGAAGGGAGATACGAGGGTTGGAGAAAGACGAAAAACGGTAGTAGAAGAGAGCAAGAATGGCAAAGGAGTGTATGAGGATGTGAATACGGTTAAAAATGGCTCTTTTGGTTTGGACTTTGCAAATGTGTGTTGCCGCCATTTCGAAATGGCATGAGAGTTCTTACTCGGCTAGTAATTTTAGTATTTATAAAACTGACGATTAAGAACCAAATATCAGAGAGAATGTGCTCGAGGAACACGGGCGACACTTATTGAAGACTATGTCACCACAGTCTCACTTATTAGGAGTATTAAATTGGGAAATTGGTTGTATTATTATTCATTTCACTACTACACTATACATTCATACCTTTGTTTCTAGACTAGAATAATTAGGGCTGCATAATTAACAATTAATTACCCCAATTTACATCGGTTTTTGTCATGCTTATTTTTAAACTTTGCTTTCTTTTTCGCCTAATTTTTTTAACCAATTTTAAATGAAACGGAAGCGAAAAAGCCACTAAATATTCCCCTAAAACACGATTTTTTTGATAGGGTGTTAAATATTTGGGGTTTGGGTTATTCACAAATCATGACAAATATTATAGGCTTGTTTTAATTCCATTAGGATTTATTAAAAATAATTGCTACTTATTGTCCTTTTATATTAAACTTTTGATCTTGAGACAAATGATTCTTTTAGACTACTAATTTTTTAGATTGATCACATGAGTAGTAGTAATATAGATTAACATGTTAATTTTAAGTCTTTTAAATAGGACAAACAAATACCGATTAACATAGATTACGTTATACAAGACAATGAGAATGGAAGAATTATCGAGTAAAGAGATTGCTGTGAGGGTGACGATGAGTTACCATTGTGGGTGCTCTAATACGGTAAGGGGGGTGAACAACTGACTTAATACTTCTACATCATCTCTGTGGTTCCACAAAACTGACTTAAGTCAAAACTTCCAATGATAGATCAAACTCATCTATTTGACGTGAGCAGCTTAAAACATATGTTGAAGGATGGATGTAAAAAATTTCACCATTAATCTCTGTACACCTAACACCTGTACCATGTACAAAGAACTCTGCTACAATCAATGTAATTACGAGCTTGAAAAATTTTTAGCTCAGGCCTGCACATAAATTTACAACACCTAAATTTGAAGATCCACAGCACGCATATCAATAACATATAGGATCAGCTTCTATGCATCTACATACTCGTGGAGCGATCACCTGTGGAATACAAAGTTGATAGATGCAGAGAGGTCAAGGCTCTGACACGAATAAACCAATCCTTGAGGTGCTCAAGCATTTAGCAATCCTGCTACTATACTGTAAAAGGAATAAATAATAAACATTATATATACCATAAAAATCTCAGAAACCTTACTTTAGATTTGGTTTATTTTCTTGGGGGGGGGGGGGGGGGTGGGGTTTCATGGCACAGAGGAGGAAATATGGCCGTACTTCGTCAATTCATCATACTATGCACAGTGGAAAACTTCTATTTACCACAATCCTCAGAACTATGGCATCAAGGTATACAATATGATGTTACTCACACAACAAGGGTCCCATGTCAGATACTTGACAATCCAATGTGTGTCTCAATTCAGCCATAACAAGAGATTGGACTACTGGAGGCTATCAACAGATTAAAGGTGACTGAATTCAGATGTTTCATTGAAAAACCAGTTTTAAAAAAGCAACACGAGTAGATTCATTCCTAACAAGATTTTATTTTTTAACATAACTGCCCAGACAAAAACCCTAACATTACTATATTTCTCGATTCAACGCTCAACTTCAAGCATATTAGGACACGAGAGAAACATTTTTGTAAAAAATTTACAAAAAAAAAAAAAAATCTCATCATCCATAAGATGCAGTTGTTTCACAATAAAGTGATTTCAGAACAAACACAAACTGGATCAATGATGCTTTCAGTGGAATAAAAGGTCAGTAGATAAATCACCAAATTCACAAAATAAAAGGCAAGGTAAAGTACAAAAAAGAATTACCATCTTCTCCCAGCCCAAACATTCACATTGAAGTTAAAGGCATATATCTCACAAACTGATTTTACACCAATTACATAAGCAGCCCATTCCCAAATTTGCCAAGCAAACAGCAAAATTAGCATAACCAATTTATTCCCTTGAAAGAGTAAAAGAGTAGACAAGTTCAAAAAATACTGCAAATCAACATATTTTTCTAGGTCATTCTGACATCACTTGCCTACATCCTCTCCTTCCCAATTGGACATAATAACGGCACAACAAGGTAGTTAATAGTTATTCCAACGAACCAAATTGAAAACTGTCAAGCAATGAAACAAAATGACAAGCGGCAGTAATTCAAAAAGAAATAAATGATTTCCCTTGGAGAATCTCACCAAAATCAAGTCTAAGTGGTCATTTTCGAGTAGAAACTGCTGGGCGTTCCATATGTTCCCATGTTGGACCCTGAGGAGTTGAAGGAATTCCAAACATCAGCATCTGTTTCAGCCATTTGACCCTGTTTACTAGTTCTTCCAAATCCAAGATTATTGATTCCATGTTATCACAGCCAGTAGAATTTAGAGTTATTGTCTCATTCAACCGCATTTTCTTTGCAGATCCTTTTTCATGATACTGTTCTTCGTCAGAAGTAGCTACTGGGGCTTCAGCTGAAACATCTCGAACATACGTACTGGAAACACCATCTGAACAACTATGCTTCCCAATGGTTGACCCCCTTATATCCAACTCCACATTTACCTCATGTGTTTGCTCCATTGCTTTTTTAGGAATATCTTTGCTCTGCTTCAATGAATCCTTGGAGTGTATTGATCTGTTTAGATGTGGCAATGAGCTAGCTGAAGTATGAGAAGAGATTGACTGATTAAGCTCCAATGAGGACCTTGGTGTGACCTTGAAATTCTGCTTGTCTTCATCCAGCACATCAACCAAGCATTTTGAAGTCGGGGCTGCAGGCAGATGATAATAAATAAATTTACCTCCTCATAAAAATGGTTTAGATAAAGGTTAGAAAACTTTTGATACACATAACAGATGCTTTCAAAGAACATCAATAAAATAATTTCGTGCAAAATATGTACTCAACTGAAAACAAAATGGAGAACTAGCAATCAGCAGGTTGGCCAAGATAAAAATTCCTCCAACTATCCTATAGACCGGCAATCCCTGAGGAGCCAGAACACGAAGAATTGAATGTAAAGACCGGCATAGAGATAGAGAACAAAGTTTGACCACAATGCCACCCAGCAATAATTATAAGAGTACTAAGACAGGTTTGTTTTTGTTACATGTCTATAAGCTCAGGTCTTTATAAGATACAGAAACTCCAAGATTCTACTGTCGGACAGGGGATATGGATTCTAAGAGGATTGTAGCCAAGCTGTCATCGACACTATACCTAGACCTAGTTTCTAGTAGTCTTTCACTCATTAATTGAATGAAACCCACATATTATGAATTCAATCACTGTCTTTATCCATTTACAATGTGTGAAGCCCTTCATGACAAACTAGGATTGTTATGATTCTCCTAGTAACAGACTATCCATCCACTCAGAAACCTTTCAATCAGTACAAAGGAAACTTGAAAATTGGTAATAAATTTCTTCTATCACAGTAGAATGCATACATTAAAAACAAAAAAACAAGGGCCAAATAGAAAATACTGACGTGTGCCATTACAATATATGGAACCTCTTTCGACTTTCAACAAACTATGAATGATATCATATTGTCACGTTCCAGATACCATATGGCTATCCGATCTTGGATTGTTTTAAATTCAAACTGAACAGAAAATTTAGTTATGATATCACTCCCTTCACACTTCAATGTACACTATTAAAAGTACATAAATAGCAATACATAATCAAAGATGCCAGACTATGAGGGGAACATTAGCATAATTCAAAGGCACTACAGTCTATGACTTGATTCATAAAGGACTACGAATTCAGTAGTAGTCTGATCCTAACTTGAGTAATGGCAGATACAGATTGAAATTTGTAACGTTCACCAAAATTGGTGAGTAAATCTCAACATTCCAAATTAATTGTAATCCTTGGTGGGAAAAAGTTGATACATCACAATCACCTACTTTCAGTAACATAACTTACATCACAAATGACCATCTTTCAATGAAATAAAAACCTAATCATAATTATTTGCCCTTGCACTACTTTATACACAAAAATATGTATTAGGGACTCATGATAATGGGCAAACACCTAACAAACTCGCCAATCAGATTAATAAGACAGTAGCAACAGGAAAGCGGAATTTTAAACTTCATAAATTTTGAAATCTGGAAGCAAGCAGCAAATAGATTAGAAAGAATACCTAGCTTCAATGGCCGAATCAAGCGGGCATGCAACTGTCCGTTTTGAGTTTCCTGGAGGCATAGTAAGCATGGATTCAGATGTTACTGTTACAACGACGAAATTTTTGAAATTTCAAGTAGAAGACTTCAGTGTTTGATGTTACAGTATTGTAAAATAAACATATAAAAATTAAATCCAAAAAAATCAAAACACTTATGCAAACTGATGTCGTTGAACAATATTTCACCAGGCCCTCCCCCTCCTTTTCTTCCCTCCATAAAGCCCTTCACTATGCTCTTATATGAGTTATATCTCTTACTAGATCTATGTGCGCGCAATGCGTACAAATTATTTTAGAAAGTAAGTGAAACAACTAATGATATATTCATTACTGAAATTTAAAATATTATCAATTAATGTGGAGTAAATTTAAAGTATAAAATTAAATGATGCCAATTAGTATAGGAAATATATACACAATGAAAATTATTTTTGTCAAAGCTAAACATTAATTATCATACAAACCTAAGTCCATTGACCTGAAGTTTACTTGATTAGAGAGAATGGTATAAAATCGATGAGAAAACTAAGTTTACGATTGTATTTGATCTTTATAGCAAAGGTTATTTCATACAGCAAAGGTTTGGACATAAGGGGCACGTGACGGCATGAGGCTCTCAATATGCTGCTTAGCAAACCACCAATGCTCTGTGGTCTTCAAGTAAATCTGTGATAGAGAACTGACAGAAGTTTTTTCTTAGATATTTCCATGCATTGAGGATTGAACATGTTCCATGCAGAGCTGATCTGTTAGGGCCAGGGCAGCCCGATTGGGGCGGGCTTTAAGCAGAAATTTTCAGCCTGTAGTCGGGCTCAGTCCGAAATTTTTTAATTTCCCAGCAGGCCTTGGAGATGCATTTCTAAGTTATTTAGTTATTTTTATTGACCCGGCCTGAAAAGCTCAAAATCCACTAGGCCTGATCCAATTTTGCTGGTTTTGGGAAAGCATTTCCGGCCAGAACCCTGGCCTGGCCCTACCAAGCGGCCTGAAATTTTTACCCCGCCAGCCCAGTCTTTGCTCACCTCTAGTTCCTTGTGTATTGCTTTGAGCAAACTGATAACAAGAACCTATCACCTCCAATTTGAATTTGAAGCACAGGAACATAACCAGATTGTTAACAGATTCCCTGGAGTTCAACGAGACTGAAAAAGATGGTGAGGCTGATAAGGTCGTTTGGGTTGGCCAGTCATAAAAGCATGACAGCGCTAACAAAGGGCAAAAGCAAACCATCCATTTATAAAGGTACGTGCACATATTAATTTCAGAAGTAGTGCTTTATCAAACACTCGAAACAAGGTCCAAAGAAAGTAACCAGTTCTGAAGGAGAATATATAGCAATATAAAAAAAAAAAATTCATTTTCAGATGAAGGACTGCAGCTGTAAAAGCTTAACACAATGAATGCACACTTGTCATGTAAAACCTTTATCTTTGAGGCGGATGATAATAATTTCCAAAACAAATGCAGGGCAATCTACAAATCAGGATCAGTAATACATGCCTCCTTGAACAGAACTACACTACAACTGATCACAAAACAGAAAGGAACAGTGAAAATTCATATAATAAATGTCAGACTTGGTCCAACAATTATGCTAAGAGCAAGACCAGGTTTCATTCTAGCCTTTATCAGATTCAGACCAGCTCAATTATATAGCCTAGGACAGGAATTGTCCCAACTCCCAAAGACCCCACCAAGAAGAAATCTTAATATTTACCAAGTCAAAGTTGCAATGCAATATTCGAGCAGAAGATATCTGCTGCTTTAGCCACTTTCCAGTTTTGTACACTCTCTGCTTTATTTAAGCTGAACAATACCACACACAACAAACTAGTAGGAAGAATTTACCAAAGGTGCAGGGACTGTCCAACCAGATTCAGGAGACCAATCCAGTGATGGGCGGAGATCCTTGCAATTGACAGTATAAGATGATCCTTCACCTCTGGGCGGCTCAAGTAATTTAATCTAAATGAGAAAGAAATTAATAAAATATATTTGACTGGTAAGAGAAAAGATACAGCATCAATACATCATACGGTAAAAGATAAAAAAAGTAGGAGTCATGGTGTATGTTTGTTGCAGATGATATAGTATTGGTGGATGAGACTAGAGCTAGCGTTAATGCTAATTAGAGTGACTGAGACAAAGATAGAGCTTCAGGGATTTAGGCTAAGTAAGAGCAAATCTGAGTACATGGAGTGCTGCTTTAATACTACTAAGAGGGAGTCTAGCGAGGATGTAAAACAAACATAACATGCACTAGTGCTATTACCTGAACTGTGTCACTGTCTATGATTTCAGTTATTGTTCCTGACCAGTAACAGTCATCAGCTAACCAGTCAACCAAATCCCCAACTCTCCTAACATCAGCAACTGCAACCACGACTTCAGAAGTTATGTTAACATCAGATAATTCACTTTCGCGATAAAAAGCTGGAAATTCTGGGCGCAACATCAGCTCTTTTTTTTCCCTTATGTCCAGTACTGTTCTCTGGGGGAAAGCGATATAGTTCTACCGTTTCGTCGGCTGCAAACAGAGATTAATGGCGTTACTCAAGGTGTTTCCAGAAACTAATAAAAAGCTTCAGTGGATAGGACAGCATGATTAAGTCCATAAAAACTAATTTCAAAGCAGCATTTACCAAGCTACAGTGACAGATCAGCCATAAAGAACAAATTAGCAACACCAAGGTACAAAAATGATTGTACGTACGCCATCAAAATCTAGCCAAAAGCAAAGTATTAAATTATTCAACCCCATGTAGATAACACTCAGAGACCCCAAAAGCTATGCATGGACACACAAAATTGCAACCTAAACTGCCCCATTCTAACAAAGGCTTGAAATTCCACCATATTTAGAGATATTTATAATCATGTGGTCCTACAGAGTACAAACTACTAAGCATTAAGTTATACAAAATTTCACAAAGTTCCTAATTCTTAAGAACTTCATTTTTGTGAGAAAATCCCTTTAAAAAAATTGTAGATAAGTGCCTGTCATTTAATAAAATAATCTTCAAAACAGCAACTACTTTCTATTTTCCGGCTATAAAGTCAAAATTCTAGCTAGCTGACTATTTTTCCCTCAATTTATTCTTTTGCATCAGACTATCAGTTTCCTCCCCTTCCCTAACTTTTATTTCTTTCTTTTACTCAACTTCTTTATTTCCTCCTTCATTCAACTACCACAATTGAGCTGACTATCTTTTTTCCCTTTTATTTGGCATTGTTCATTGACAGATAGATGGACAGAACAGAGAAAGATAACGAAAGGAGACAGATAAATGGAGAGGAGAACAGACATAGAAAGAAGCAAAAAAAAGCATTTTGAAAAAGAAAAAAAAAACACACAAGAGAAGTCACTAATGACTTGGTACCAATGACTTAGTATGCTGTGGTGAAAGAAGTAAAGCAAATGTGAAAAGATGGCAAAAGCTACTTAAAAATATATAGTTTGGAGCCTTGCCCAATTCCTCTTATTTTGCTCCATTCCTACTTAGCACTACCACATTTACTGTCATGGGCTACAGCACCATCAACGCCACCACTGCCACTAATTACCTGCACAACTACTCGTTCTAGCCACCATTGTCTACACCGCCTTTATCCATTCAGCCCCAAACATGTATGCCCTATAAGGCCAAAACTGCTGCCACAAAATTCTCTTCACTTGTCACTCCCATAGTTAAGCTGTCCCGATCCCTCCTTCCAGTTCAATTTTTAAGGTCCAGCCTACCACTATGGTATAAAACAAATCTAAGAGAAAGCAAGAGTACATCAGAGAGAGATGACAAACGGATACAAGAACAATAGAAAATTTACATATTCATTTACCACAGCAAATCTGCAATGGTAGACTTAGATGGTTAAATAATTAAATTCGACCATAAGGGCCTGCTACTTAGAGCCATGATGGTTTATTTGACCACTGAAAGCTTCTCAGTAGTAGCTTGACCACAATTATTAAGGTGAAGAGTGAAACGACAACAGCAGAGGACAAAGTCCACACTAATAAGTAGGAATTTTTTTGTTACAAAAATCTGTGTATTTGAAAAGGAAGAAAGCTGACTTTAACCACTTGTTATGCTCAGTCTGAAATGGACTACACCAATACTCATTGTAAGCACAAATGAAGGCATCAAATTAAGTGAGGAACATAGAATTTTCATAGGACGGTAAAGAAATCTAGTGGAAGAAAGTTCTGTCACAAGCTAACTCATGCACCTGATACTCTTAAGAAGTTGAGAGGATGGAAAAAAATTAATTAAAAAAAAATAAAAAATAAAAAGGAAATTCTCAATAGTGGTCCTCAACAATTACTACACTAAAATGTAGGCCCTCCCTATTTCTTCATTGTTATCATTATACAAAATGACCCTAATTAAGATTTTTTTTTCCCACAAATGACCATAATGAGGCTAAATTGGATAGAAATTAAAACATGGTTAGTGAAAAGCAGGAAAAGACATTAATGCATGCCGCCTTTATTACCCCCTCACAACCCTTCATAATCTTCATCGCCACCAGTCCTCTACTACCTCCCTCTTTTCTCACTCTATCTCTCCTCCATAATAGCTGGCCCGAAACCCCAACCCCCACCCTTACCTGACCCAAAACCAACATGGCAGTCACAGCCTGCAACACACCACCCTACTTCACTCCTCGCTGCAGCCCCTGCACCTCCTTGCTGCCACCACACCAACAAAGCACGGCAACGCCTCAATGGTGGGTCTAATAAGGGCATTGCATCATCAAAATCCTCAACCTCATCTGAAATTAGGGTCGATCCATTCCCATTTTCAGCATGGAGGGGAAACACCTTTCACCATGATAAACAAAGATAAAATCATGGTTCTAGCAACCAACGGTCCAACCTCATCCTATTGGGATTGGCTTTGACAATGATATTTACAGGGCTGAAAAGCAATCTTTGATAAACCAAAATTTTTAAATCCCTGTACAAAACTGAATCGGAGAAGAATGTAGATCTACAAGGTTTAGGATGATGTGAATTTAAGGCTTCTATGTTAATTTCGAGATTTAGTTAGGTTCAGGTTGAAGTGATTCATGTAAATTCAAGGGAGCTTTTTTCACGTGAAACTTGCTATGAAGTTGGGCTCTTTTTTTCTTCTCTCTCCCAAACACAAATCTTCTTTATTTAGTTCTTGAATGCTTTAGATATATTTTTTCTATTATTTGTAGCTTTTAACACATCAAGAATCCAGAATTGAGGTTCGATATGAAGGATCAGGGTTATAGAGTTATGGTAGTTTGTCATTTTAAAACCATCCCAGAATTTTATTAAGATGGTTAAAGTCAAAACAGGTAGGCAAGGTGAGTGCCAGATGGATATAATGACAGGACCTAGTATGTTTTTCTGCTTGGAATAGGAGGTTATTAACTAGTTAAAACTTATAGATTTTAAGACCTTTACAGTTTAATCAAATTGGTAGAAGACTCTATTTCCCAACCAAGGATCTTACTAGGCTGCAACACAAAAGGAGGGTCAAATTACCCAAAAAGGTGATGTAGAGCATGAAGAAATTTTCTTATTGTTTACATATACCCCATAGAAACGGTTCCAGTAGCTTTGAATGTAGGAGTTAGTAGACGGCGGGCACATTTCTTAGTCTAGCCAACCAGCAGTGTGCAGAATCAATAACATAATACTAAAACAGACACTTCCTGATGACACGTGTCACTTCCTGATGCTGTTTTTTTCCCTCCAAAACTCCCCTTCCCCTTTTAGTAAAAAAATCTTTTATTTTTGGAATATTTGTATAATACAACTATAATTATATATTATTCCTAATCTTATATATAATCTTTATAATAATTGTATTCTTTTTTATTTCGTGTTCTATTTACTTAAAATAGTTACACAAAATTTTGAGACTTTTTAATTAAGGGAGAATAAGCTATAATTTAGAAGGTTGGAATATTTAGAGAGTATAAAATAACGGAGCCAAAAATACAATATTAACGTTTAAATTACTATTATATAGTTGTACAATAGTGGAGTTCAATGGAAAAAAAAGTTTCTATTCATGGTGTTGATTTAAAATCTTATGAAATAACAATAATTGAGTTAGTTTTCTGTAATAATTTTACCAACTAATTTTTTATTTTTCCTTCAAAAAATCTATTAACTATTACTAAAACAGGTTATGCTTACATCGATCATTTTGGACATATGTCAAGCTATCATTTAAAAATTTCCCGCCAATACAATATATGATGTCAAATTTAAATTTTTTTTTAAAGTTATTCTACTTAGCTTATTTTATGGAAGTACATTGTATAGTATTTTTTTTTTTCAAACTAAATTAATTCATTAATAAAAAGTCATACGACATTTACATTATATAGTTTTAACGGGAATAACATGCATCATTAATGTGATATAATGTATACTATGTTTAAATATTTTCAACACAACTAATCAAAAGTAATATTTTTTTTTTCTCAATTTTAATTTTAATAATTTTTGCCTTATTATTTCATAATTCTTATATGCATTGTATTTGTTTATTCCACATGAGTTGCCTTATTTTTATATTATATCACAAATTAATTATGGGAAAAAAAAGACTATTACGGGCACTAATCTAGTGGATTCTAAATCCATTTCAACCCATTCCAAGAAGTTCAACCAAACATCCCTTAAAATGCTCCACAAGCCAATAATACTTCACCCCCAATCCCCCCCTCCCCTTCTTCAATTTGACTTTTCTTCACTCAATACAACTTAAAAAAGGCATGCTGTCAAACTAGCTCCTTAGAGCTGAGTAAGGACTTGGTCATGACTTAACTAATCAAAAGATGCTAAGGCCAAAAGTTAAAAAAGGATAGGATCAACATGGAAATCCAGGGTCAATGACACTACAAAATCAAGAACTTTTCTTTCTTGTTTTCGAGGTCACAAGAGCAGAAAAATTTTGTTCCTCTTAGTCAAAACCAACAAGTCAAAAAAAACACTAAATTTATATATTTGTAAGAAGAGCGGCACTAGTGTGTTCCTTGATTTTGCAGGTTGAATAATAGCATGATACTCACCCACCTTTTGTGCATGGACAACACTGCCTTAGAGTTACTGTAAACTAAAACAAGTCCAAGCAAACAGCCATAAATAACCACAAAGACAAGAGGCAATCACTTACCTTCCTCTGGGTAGTCATAATATTCTACAACATATGCTGTAATCCGACCTTTTCTTCTGGTACTCTTCTTTATCTAAACAAAAATACATCAAAATTTGTTAGAGTAAAAAGCAACAAATATCACTACCAAACTGAAAAATATGAAACACATATAACACAAGCCCACAGTTCTATAAGAAATAAAGCAGCCTAACAAAACGACGTATAATAATCCATCGACATGTGATATTCAAGCCAAGTGAAGAGTGAAGACAGATTAGAAAACACAAAAGGGGATGCAAAAATCAAACAATAAGACAAGCTAGTCTAAGTTTCTCAGTTTTGGTTTCATAAATGCATGTTCACTTAAAAGACATCCACGTATCTAAGCACCTTGAAAAATACCCCAGCAGCAGCAGCAGTAGCCGCCGCCGTATCCCTCTTCTAAAATCTAAACAGAACTACCCAACTCTCCTTCTGAGTTCTACCCAAAACAACTTAATACAAACAGAACCACAATCAGTCAACACTTTGCTAAAAACCATGAAAACAGCATCCAAAATGAAGAGCTAGAAAAGGAGACAAGGCCACTGTTCAAACCTCCCACGGCCCCCACATATCAACCTCTGCTGATATAGTTATAGTCAAATTTGCCCAGACTCAGTGGTCAACCCAACCAGAAAAAGATAATGGAATAAAAAATATGTTTTCCTTGAAAAATCATATCACATTAAAAATGTTTTGTCAAACCAAACAAAGCCTTTAGTAATAGGTGGTTATCAGAAACAGCTTTCATAATCTTCCAAATGCTTACAGAAAGATAATCCTCATAATAGACATTAAAGGTTGCAAGAAGTTCTTAAATTGGATTAAAATTCCATTCGCGAAAATACTTTAAGATGCACCTCGGCACCAACCAAAGTTTAATTGGGAAAAAGACCGCATTTGAAACAAATCTGTAGAGATAATAATAGAAGGAACACAAAAATAGAAATACTCAAAAATACCTTACACCGAAACCATGCACCACGAAAACCACTAACAAAAGTCCTGGCCTCAGCCAACTGACCAATCTGAAAACGAACACTATGTTTCTTTCCCATGGACAAGCCTCAAAAGTTAAGCCAGCATGACAAACTGCGAGTTACATAAATTAAGTGAATGATATAATCAGATATATACGGTATATTCCTTCAATCCTAAATCATATCACAATTCACAAACAAAATGGTTTGTGACAGTAACAATTATAAAGAAAGTCCTAAATCTGATTCAGGAAAGAATAAGTTACATACTGTAAAGTATAAACCCCCCAACATTATATCACAATCCACAAACAAACCCATTTAAGAAAATCAAAGTAAATTGCACATACAAGATTTCTATTAACAAAATCGATCGTTATAATCTGTCATAACTTAAGTAGTTATAACCAATAGTTTAATAGTCCGTCTTAAAAGAACCCTAAATTAACAATATTGGCAATTTCATCAACGATAAACCCTATATTGCGAAATTGAAGTTCAATAATTTTTTTTAACAAAAAAAAGAAGAGGCTTACCTGAGAGGATGTTTCATGGACGAGTGTTGGTCGGAAGGGCTTTATTATTAATGGAGAATTGAGAGTATACTTTCAAATTTCAATGGAGGAGAGAGAGAAGTGCAGCGTTAGAGTGAGAAGCTTAATGGGGGGAAATTTAGATTATTGACACGCATATAATAATGTCAACTGTCAATATTAATTCTCATTCAACATATAAGCTTTTAGATGTTTAAAAAGCTTTTAGATGTTTAGAAAGCTTTTTGAAACTGCGCTCTTTCACCTCTTGTTAGAAACCACTCCGTGTTTATGTAGTGTGTATTTGTGTGGGATTTGTAAGACCAATGGATGACCAAATCTTTAATCTTTGGTCATGAAGGAGTAGTACATGTTAGAGCGTATTCGAGAATATTTTTGAGTAGTTCACAGAGGATTGACTAACTTAATAAAAAAAAATATGAGTGTTTGACAATATAGTGATTGAGGTAGTATTTAGTGATGGAGGTAACTTTTATCAAAAGCTGGAAATATTAGCTTTTGAAGTTAAAGGTAGTTGTTGAAAATTTAATATACGGTTTTAGGAAAAAAGATGTTGATTTTTGTATGTAACTAGATCCCATAATTAATTTGTGAAATAATATAAAAATGAGGCAACTCATATGGATTAAACAAATGCAATGCATATAAGAAAGATGAAATAATAAGGCAAAAATTATTAAAACTACAATTGAGAAAAAACAATTATTTTTTATTAGTTGTGTTGAAAATATTTTAAAATAGTGTACATTATATTATATTAATGATGCATGTTATTCCCAGCAAAACTGTATAATGTAGATGTCATATGGCTTTTTATAAATGAATTAATTTAGTCCTAAAAAAAATATTATACAATGTACTTCCAAAAAATAAGCTAAGTAGAATAAATTTTTTTAAAAAAACCTTAAAGCTGACATCGTATATTTTATTGGCCGAAATTTTTTTAATGATAGCTTGACATATGTCCAAAATGATCAATGTAAGCATGACCTGTTTTAGTAGTAGTTAATAAATTTTTTGAAGGGCAAATTTTTTATAAGTTGGTAAAGTTATTACAGATATATTTAACAGAAAACTCATTTAATTATTATTATTTCATAAATTTCAAATTAACACCATGAATATAATTGTTTTTTTTCCATTGAACCCCGCTATTACAATTATATAATGGTAATTTAAATATTAATATTGTATTTTTGGGCCCCATTATTTTATACTCTCCATCATATTTCAACCTTTTAAATTATAGTTTATTCTCCCTTAATTAAAAGGTCTCAAAATCTTGTATAACTATTTTAAGTAAATAGAATACGAAATAAAAAGGAATACAATTAGGGGTCGTTTGGTTCGCAGGGGGTAATCGGAATGGAATGAACAAAGGAAAAAGAAAAGAATGGAATGAAAATACCTTATATTTGCTATGTTGTTTGTTTTAAAAACAAAGGGAAACAAATCCCACTAGTCCCACCACCACACAACCACCTAATTCATTAACTTTCCACCTTTTTCGGTCACCATCCATCCACCAAACCACTCATCGCACCTCCCCCACCATTTGCCTCCCTACGCCAGCCTTCCCCCACCCCTACCGGCCTAGCGCAGCTCATCCTTCCCCCAAAAACCTCCCTTAGCCCAGAATAACCCTAAAATCTAGTCTCACTCCCCGTAAAACCCATCGGTTGACCCTCCCCCACCCTCGAAACCCTAGCGCCTAGGGTTTCGATGGTATGGGAGGGCCAGTCGGCCGTTTTACAGTGAGGGAGATGGGTTTTTTTTAAGGTTTTTTAGGTTTTTCGATGGTGGGTTTCGAGAGTGAGGATGGTCGACGAAGGGAGGGGAGGTGCGGCGAGGGGTAGGAGAGAGGCAGCGAGTGGTGACGTGGCTGGCCATGGTGCGGTGATGCGACTTTTCGGTGATTTGGGTAGGTAGGAGGGTGGTGGTACGGTGGTATAGTGGTGGCTAAGGAATGGGAATGGAAATACCTGGGGGGAATCAACTTAGAAGGATTTAGGGGAATGAAGAAGGTAAAGGGAATGGGGAAAAAGGCGTAACAAACAACAACAAAGGGAATCAAGGCAGTTGATTCCCATTCCCTTTGATGAATACCCCCAACCAAACGACCACTTATTATAAAGATAATATATAAGATTAGGAATGATATATTATTATAGTTGTATCTATTAACTATTACTAAAACAAAACATTGCTGACATTATCTTTCCTCAAAACTGTATTCGTGTCGCTTTCTTATGAAATTTTTTCCCACCTAAAACCATTGATGATTTCATTTTTTTGTGATATATTTTTTTTTTTTCTGAAAGGATTTTTTGTCTTTTGTGTGATACTTCGTAAACAAGCTAAGTAAGTTCTTTCAACAACTTTAATCTAGAAAATCGAAGTATAGTAAATTGAAAAGCAATTGTATTCCTTTCTTTTGATTTAATGATATATCATTCCCTCTCCTCAATTCCTTAACACTAATATTCAAACGTTCAGAAATTTCCTGAAATATTCAAATTGTATTTCATTTAAGAAATCTCCTTACAATGAACTTATGACAAAATTGAAAAGATTCATTGTATATACGAGTTCTACACTATAATTTTTTTATTAAAATCGTGAATCACACGGAGATAATTTTGTTATCCAAATATTTCAAAAATAAAAGTTTTTTGTTAAAAAAGGAGAGGGGAGTTTTGGAGGGAAAAAACAACACAAAGAAGTGACACGTGTCATTTTTGGTGTCTGTTTTAATATCATGTTAGTGATAGCTAATCAACCGCTACTTTACCGAATATTCATACCTTAATTACCTATCTTCACAGCTAACATCCTGTTGACAACTAACAATTACTCTACCTTCATACCTATATTTTGCCGAACACACCCTATTCTCTAGTATACATTTTTATTGTTATTCCATATTGTTTAACAAGGGTTATATTCGATATTTTACATACCTTACGTGGGCGGGTATTTTTGGAAGTTTAATCAATCAATAATTGACAGTGTGGACTGTTAACCATTATATTAAAGAAGCAACAACTTTAATGGAGCTCACAAAGCAACTTCTCCAATTTTTCTTAAGGTTTGTTTAATTCCGATCACGAATGTTTGCGAAGGAAGAAGAAGAAGATGATGAAGACATATGGGGATTGCAAGAGGGAGGACGAAGAAGATGGATTCTCCATTTAATCTTATTATGAGCTTTGTTCGTGCTGATGTCGTTCATCGTGAGTTTTTTGTATTATTTGCTTTTGGGGAAACCATTGGTAATAAGTCTATTAAGTACTCCTTTTATATACTTTTTGCATTGTTTGCAATGTACCTGTATGTAATTAAAACTAGCATTCGAGGGGTTCCTAATGTTTAATTTTTCTTACCTTTTCAAAAAAAAAAAAAAAAAAAAACTAGCATTTTGGCATGTGCGTATGTAATTTAAATTAGCAGTTTGACTCATGTAACGCACAAGTGACTAATATTGTAAGTATATGCATTTATTTGTTTGTTTGTTTTTTTAGTACATGCTTTTCTTGAAAAAAATGAAGAGTTTAAAAAGAAAAGGAAAGGGCAACAATTGAAATGCACTCATACATGTTATTAAGTCTAGGAATATGAAATAAATATTAAGAAAAATTAGAAAATAACACCATAAAAAATACAGAAATTTGATTACAACACCACAAAATTTCAAACTTTTATTATAATATTACGAAAAAACACATAAATTGGATTTTACCACCTCCTAACGGATTTTTGGATGAAATCCGTTAGTAGGATCTGATAGGATAAAGTCGTATCACCCAATCAAAAGAATTATCTAAGTCCTCTAACTAAAGCAGATAGGGAAGTAGGGTCGAATCTACAAGGAAACAAGGTCTTTCTATTCCTAAATAATTAATATAATCTAAACTATCAAGTAACCAAATTGTTTTTGTAAGAATTAAACTAAGGAGAGTAAATAAACTAAAGCAAATTAAACTAGGGAGAAATCAATAAATCAAAGCCTAGGCTTGAAACTAAGCCTAAACATCAATTCTCATTTCTCGAATCTTGAATCAATATTGCATAACTCATACAATTAAACCTGGCCAAATCTAGTTGCATAGCATTAAATCAATCAACCATTGACAATCAACAACAATAAATTACCCCTTCATATTATTTATGGATCCCCACAAACCCTAGAAATAAAATTACTCACACATATTAAAATCTAAACCAAGCAAAGCAATAAAACAAGACATGAATAATCAAAACAATTAAATTACTGAAATAAAAGGGAAAGAAATCGTTACCAAAATAAATGTAAATAATGAATTGCATAAACCAAAAGTGTTGAGAGAACAAGAATATTAATCAAATGCTTAAAACTAAAAATCTGGAAATTAACTAATGAAAGACGTAAGTATCTCGCTTAACAAAGCGTACTTATACTCAAGCTAGAAATCCTAAGCTAAAACAAATATTAAAAGTCGCTAAATGACCCTCAGAAACACGCGCCCGGTTAGGCGCCATCTCGCCCAGCCGGGCCCACCTTCGGCTGGTGAACACTTCTTCTCGCGCCCGATCAGGCGCGCCTCCAGGCGGAGGGCTATTCCTTCCTATCTGCCTCGCTTGGCAAGGCGCGCCTCAGGGCGAAGGCTTCCCCGGTTGGGCGAGCTCTCGGGCATCATGGAATTCTTCGATTGGGCTATTTCTTAGCCTAATTCGCGTTTCCTCTTTGGATCTTTAAGACTCGGTCCAATGGTAATAGGCCGTTGTCGAGCCTACCAAAGATAAATTCTATCTTGGTCTCACTAACTAATAGCAAGGGTAAGAAGGGGTCTAACCCAAGAGAGGCGTTGAATCATCCACCAAGATATTACCGTTAATAAGCTAAATGAAGTCAATATTGGTTTGGTCTTAAGTAACTTCTACTAGTTCAATTCAACTAAAGCTAAGAGGAGATTAACAATATTAAGAGGAATCTATGGCTCGGGTTATACCACTCAACTTCATCACAAATCACAATTAGCATACAACAATCAAGGTGAAATAAGGGGATAAAATAGGGGAAGTCATCTAAGGCACCCAACTACTCTCTCAAGCTAGAGGGATTACTTGAATCATGAATACAACCTACTCTCGTGGTTAGAAAGCATAAAACAAGTG